ATGATTGTATCCAATATATTATTAAAATTCTTACAATTAACAGTTGGAGGATATGTTAATGTATATATATAATATTATATAATATTATATCCCTGTGTTGTGATGTCCCCCAAACTCACCCTGTCACACTGCTAATAAAAAATACATCATACATACATACCTTTATTCAAAGCAAACAAACGATAGAAAAAGTTCTTTAAATAATCAGGTATTCCATATGTTCAAGTGAGTATGTTTTATTAAATGCATACTAATATCTTTCTATAGTATGTGAGTATACATAATAAATTAAAATGTATATATTTATTAAATATAGATATAATACCAGAACATGATTATTTCAGATGAGAAATCAAAATAAACCCATTTGTAAGTATCTTTTGGTCACTCCAAATTGATATTGCTCATAAAAAAATACACGGATTTTCCCTGGGGAAAAAAATTAATTCCATAGCAATGTAGTTAGGGGACATGTTTTATTTCATAGCTTTCTGCAAGCAAAATTGCTTTGATACAAAATGAGTTCAATGATACAGGTGCTACCGTCCACTCAAGCAAAAGAAAACCTCACATTTATATGAATGCTCTTTATAATTATATTCTTACAGTATAATAGGTCTAATAATCCAGGACGCCTCTGGCCTCTCGGGAAGCCGCGGCACAGAAATGCTGCCAGGTTCTGGAACATCCGAGCACTGGCCAGTGCCTAAAGGAACTTCCTGTGAGCTCTCGGTCAGCTACTGCTCAGAGGACTGTGTGTGGACGTGCTGTCTGCCCTCCGTCTTTTAGTTTACAGTTAAGTCATCTCAAAATACATCCCGGCTGTGTGTCTTTTGGCTTTTCAGAGTTTCTACGGAAGCAGGAAGAGGTCATGAGGTATCCGTGACATGGGCCGCGGCTGGACCGCCGTGGCGGACAGAGCGGGCTGGGGGCACTTACCTGCAGGGACGGTCACGGACCCTAATGTGTGCCCCGCACGCTACGGTGCAGAAGTGTTCGTGCCGGCGTAACGCCTTCCTCCCCCCTCACAGACCACGTGCCTCTAACCCCAGAGTATCTGACAAAAAACCATACAGATAAAATAAAAAGACAAATACACAAATAAGGCCATCTGCAGAATTTTAAACTCACTTCTTGCAATTATTTCACAATAATTTCTACATCATATTTTACATCTTTCAAACTTCAATAATAAATGCTCAAGGAAGGGCCGCGGTGGGACCAATTGCACTATCTCTTGGAGGACTTGTCCAGTTTGCTGGCAGGTGATTTCCTCTGGGGCGTGGGGATTTTGGAAGGCTTGGCTGTGGATGGCCGAGAACCTGCTCGGGGGGTAGGCCTGTGTGTCTGGGGGACAGTCTCCACGTCTGAGCACACGGACTGGATTTCTGAAATGTCAAAGTCTGATGCATCACTGCCTCGGCGGCTGCTGGCCCTGCTGCCGGCCTTGCTTCCGGCTCGGCTTCCCGGACGGCTGGGGGTCTTCCTGGGATCTAGGGAGAGAGCACCGACAGGGGGGAACCACCCTTCATCAGTACTGGGTCCATGCACAACACATTCTTGAAACCTAATGCCACCCTTAACATCCACGGTTTTTCTTGTCACCCGGTAGGCACTCAGCCGACACCTGTGGGTTCACGGCCGTTTTCCATCCCACTAGGGAAGGTGGCCTCACTCTGAGTTAGATGTAATATACAAAAAGCTAGGTTTACAAACTAAAGGTACGTTTGGGCTGAGTCCCTGGAAACAGGATTCCATTGACTACAGGCAGATACGAGGAATATACCTATAATTTAAGATTATGCTTTCCAAAGTTTAACATGTGTACCTAGGGCTGTGCAAACACGGGGCAAACTCTTAGGTGTAAGTTTTGCCCGAGGATAAGTGATTCAAAGCACGTGGGAGTTTAAAAGATAAGACTTGAAACTTGAAAGACGCTTCATGCTTGCTGAGCCCAGAACCCCAGGGACTGGGTTCACTATTCTGTGGAGAAGTAGAAGCAGCACAGGTATAAGGCCCGGCATGGCTGGGTTTTTCCAATCACCCAAAACAGAGCCCAGGGTAACTTCTGCACAGGCAGAAGGACCCAGACCTTCCGGCCTGAAGGGGTAAGGACACGGCTGTGGTGTTTCTCGTGTTCAGCTTTCTTTGATACTTTCCAAAAGTGATTTTCCTGTCCCTTAGTCTCATGACTCGTTTATCCCCTACCGCAGCTGGAGGACTGGACTAGGTGTCATTTCAAAAGAATACAGCATCATCGATTCGTTATTTCAGCCCCAGTGAAGAAGAGCAGGGACGTTAGTCCCCGGATCACACTGCAAGAAGCCGTTAAGACAGACGTGCGCCGCACTCACCTGCAAACTGTGTTCGCACTCTGGCCGCCGCGGTGGTTATCAAGCCACTGTCGTCCCCAGAGTGGAAGCCTTTCCCTGACAAGTAGCCGGGGAGTCGAAGCTTGCTTCCTTGGATTGGCGTACCCTGTGTTTAATAGCGAAAGGACATTTCAGGAAATGCCGTGATCTTCCGCGAACAGCGCGTTGCAGATGGGCCAAAACCCTCTGGGGGCGGAGGGGGGGGGGAGCGTTTCGATTAAGCGCCACATGGGGTTCTCACCGCTCGCTTTCCTCATTTCTGATTCTCTCCCTGAATTCAAAAGGAATTCATGTTGAAGAGAAAACACAAAAATAGCGATCCCCAAATGGCAGCAAGGGGGAAAAAAAAAAGCAAATTAAACCGTGAGCACATTAGTATCTTCCAGTTTGTCAGCGAATATTACAGAGTTAGGAGAGTCCCGGAGAAAGACGGGGAGCGCACGGTACAGAGAGAGGGCGGGACTCTGAAAAGTTGTGCTTGCATATTCTGTCACCTCCAAAGCTTTTAGGGAACCAGGCAGAAATGAACAGACAGAATTAGAGCAATAAGTAAATAATGCCTAAACAGTCATCATTTAAACAAACTTAGCTGCAGAAAACATGCAGTGACATTTTCTAACTTGGTACCACTCCACTGTAGCTACTTCCAATACCTTCTATGGCCTCTCCACACAGAACATGAGGCGATGCTTAGGGAGGACTCTTCAAAAATTCTTAAAGGAGTTCATAGAGAATGCCCAAAGCAATCACGACTATGAGATTTTATTTTAAGTCTAAAATCACTGCATTTTTTCCAGATCACTACAACATTCTGAAAATTCTCCCAAAGTTAAAAAAATAAATAGAACTCCCAAGAAGTATAAGGGATGTCATTTTGCCTCAATGAACTTATAGGGAGCTGTTTGGAGGAAAGGAATCTATACACATTACGTGTGCGGTTTTTGTTTTTTAACTAGTTTTTCCCTTATTAATAAGTTGTAAATGTTTAATAAAGCATATGTAAGATCTTTTGATACTTCGGAGTTGCAATTTAATATAAATGTCATATTTGAAATTCATTTACATACGTATTCTATACATACATTTAAGGATGGAATTTATATGTGATTTGTATCCATATAAAACTTAAGTTTTCAAAATACTTTTCACACGTCAGGATAATTACTCTTCACACTCACCTAATCACAACTTTTTTATAAATGTGAAAGATGAGGGCCTGAGGAGGGCAGTGGTTTGCCCAAGATCTGTCAACTCTGACCTAGCTAAATTCCTAACTTTAAAAGAATCTCAACAATCCACGAAGAAAGTGAGGATCCCCAAATTATGAAATATATCACTCAAGGTGGCAGAATTCATTGCCATGTGAGACCCAAATCATTCTTCTCAGAAAGCCTTGATTAATTCTTATTTTATTGTCACAAACCCTACCTAGTTCTCTTACAGACCCCCTCCATAGAAGTATACTATTGTTTTCTCTGTTTGGCTGTTTTGTCTATGAGGCTATTGGAAACAAAACATAATTTTATAGTAGTTAAAATAACATACTTAAACTCTAATCTGGGGGAGGTCTCCACTTTTTAAAAATCTGAACTACACAGCAGCATAGTCCCCAAAATTTAAAACACACATGCCACTTGAGGTTCCTCAAACTTCTCAGTTTTCATAGGTGAAGGGAAGGGAAAATAAAATAAAATATCAAAGAGGGAGGCAAACCATCAGAAACTCTTAACTCTAGGAAACAAACAGAGGGTTGCTAGAGGGGAGGTGGGTGGGGGGATGGGGTAACTGGGTGATGGACATTAAGGAGGGCACGTGATATGATGAGCACTGGGTGTTGTATAAGACTGATGAATCACTGACCTCTACCTTTGAAACTAATAATACAGTATATGTTAATTAAATGAATTTAAATTAAAAATTAAAAAAAAAACTTCTCAGGTTTTGCTACAACAGATCCATCATAAGTGACAGACGTCTCTAGATAAAGTATGATACTAACCTCTCCCACCCGAGAGAAGGGGTGGGCATGAGGGGTCAGGGAAGGAGGAAGAGCTGAAGAAGGAGTTGTTTCTGCCTCAATTCTACTACCACCAGCAAGGATCTTTGCATCATTTCCATCTAAGTCATGAGAGTAATAAAACGTTCTCTGCTTACCTCTTATTATTCATGTGAGGATTAAATAATAGATTAGAAAGTGTTTTTGAAAAGCATAAAAAGGGCTTTTTAAAGGTACTATAGCACGTCCATAAAAGGGTCTGGCCTTTAACATGAAATTCCCCCCTTCATTTCCAGACAGGTTGTTTAGGGACAGCCCCCCCCCCCCCCAGAATATTGATTCTAATCAAATATGTGATTTGACACCTATATGTATCATTTGACAGAGAACTTCCTTTCAAATCTATTTGGTTGACTTTCAATTGAATGTAGATGATCTGATAAATGAGCTAACTTGGCAAATTTTATATGACCTAAATATCTTATCCGCATCAATCATGCCATGTTAAAAAGCTGAAGCATACTTAAACAGTAATCATTAAAGTCTTATTAGACTTTAAAAGACACACACCTATTGAAAATGCCAGATAACTTCTTGCATATCTCAGCCCCCAAACCTCTGTACTGATAACTAAAAGGCTTATGGCTTACCCACACGGTGTTCCTGGGCAGAAATAAATATAACAAACATTTGGAAGGACCGCGCTCATAAGGAACACACAACAAACATTCTTCTAATGTAAGTGATTTTCTCTTGTAAATGACAGTGCCTCTCACTCTCACCTAAAGGGGGATTATTGTATTTCTTGCCCCAATTATGGCTAGAAGCAGGAGCATACTAGGAGCTTTAAAAGAAACTTTACTTAGGTCTGAATATAATTTCCTGTGTGTCACTCTCCCAAGAGAGAAAAGCCAAATTAAGTATGAGGAAGAGAATAAAAAAGGAGGTACACAGAGCCTGTAAGTGTAACTATGCTCAGCTGACACCAAAGACCTATGAATTGTCTTTTCTGTCTTTGCAGAAATGCTGAGTTGATACTTGTCTAATACAAGTCTACAAAAAGACATAGTATTGTCAAAAGTACATGTGTTAGGGGAAAGGTAAAGCAATGTTAGTGCGTGACAGTTTCAATAAAAGAAGACTGTTAGACTAGGATCTGGGGCCTTACGATACCTCTGCAGATGGCACGGAAAAGTCTGAGCACTCTGCTGGTTTACAAGGAGTTGACATTTTGCTGTTTGTCAACCATGGTTTACCATAATTGCGTGTTAAAGGATGGAGAATCTGTATGGAACAATGGCAAATCAAATGTAAAGTATGGCAGATAAAAAACAAACCACAGAAAGAGATATTCATAGCCAAGAGTAACATTTCACAGTAAGAATGATAATAATTAAAAATAAATGCCAAGATCTGATGGCAAATCATAGACACCAAATAAATAAATAAATAAATAAAGCTTTATTTCGAAAGGAAAAAAAAAAAACCAACACTCTGAAAGGTAACTAAAACTCTTAAGTAGATAGTTTCTTAAGTAGATGGGCCACAAAGCAAAAGCGTGTGTGTGTGTGTGTGTGTGTGTGTGTGTAGATACATACACACGCATATTTCAATCCTTCACTTGTTATATTGTGAGAAGGGATACACATGGAGAAGGCTGGCCCCACAGGTTCTAGGGTCCTCAAACATTCAAAAGTTACTCGAGACAGTGATGGCACGGAAGACGGACAACACTTCCTATCTGAGTCCTACCTTGGGCGTGCTGGTGGCGGGCCCCTGTGGAGAGGCTGCCTGGCCAGCCTGACTGGATACAGAAGTTGATCGGTTGGGTGACGCTCCTCGTGATGAAGGCCGCGATCTTCGGCCCCGGGGTCGGAAGGCAGCCATACCCTGACTGGCACCATCTGCTAAAATGAACTTCTCCCGAAGCTCCATGTTTGTCCTTCCTTTAGCTGGATTATGTGACACACACAGCAAGGCACGCAGACAGAAGAAAGGGAAAAAAGAAAAAAGAGGCGCTCAATTACGGGAAAAACAACTACCTGGCACCACAGACCATGGTGAGGAGTTCAAGAACAGCTTTTTGCCATGCCAACTCCAACGCAGCATAACAAAAAGTTAAATGCATTCCTTTACAATGCATTCCTTTTGGATACAAGTAAGTTTGGGAAAGAAAAAAAAAAGTGTGTTTATTCTAACACTAGACACCAGCAAGAATAACCACTTAATATTAAAGAAAGAGTCAGCATGAAAATGGAAAGCTCATGCTAAAATATTGTTAATCCACCAGCTACTGATGCCCACATGGTTCATCACCCCTTCCCCACACTGAGAAGACAAGCCAGTAAGGCAGGGACTGTAGCTTTTGCATGTACTACTGAGTTAAGGAGAATGCCAGTATTTTAACACTGGAATTAAACAATAGGATTACACAGAATGAGAGATGGTTTGTTAATCATGATGACAACATATAAACTCTCAGGTTTTTCACTTTTTATTTTATGCCTTGAAAAACTCGGTTTAACCGACATGCAATAACGAACGCCAGACCCAAGGATATGAGGTAATCAGTGATGCAACACTCATACAAACACATATGCACACGGAGAACACCCCACAAGAACCCGATGAGCAACGTGTTAGCATGTGTCTGATCACTTATAGAGCACCTACATTTGCGACACCCCAGAAGTGTGCCGATGTTTCAGAACTTAAATTTGGAAGCACCAGCTCAGTTGGATATGAGTTAAGCCATACGCGATGGATGAAGCATGTTATCTTAAAACAAATGATTAAAGCAAGAATGTAAAAGTAGGAAAGAGAAAAGGCAAGAGGGGAGAGGCAAAGAGAGGGGTTGCCAACCTATAGTAGGCTGAGTAGTAGTAATTGAAGAGTTTGATTCCGAACGTAACATTTTACTCCCATGATGATGAACTAGAAAAAATGACACAGGATACCAATCACATTAAAGAATACTGTTAGCAAGAGAAGAAACAAAGTACAGTAGTTGAATATGCAAAGGGTGCTCAGATCCGGCTTTTAGCACACATTTTAGAAGAAAAGTTGCATCGGGGAAAGAAGCACTCAAAGATTTGACTCAGTAAGAAAAACGTATTTGGAAGACTTGGCCACAGTCACACTAACTTTTCTAAGCAACTCAACAGGACACTACACATTCTAATTCCTTTGTCTCATAAGTGGAACTGCATCACTTGAGGCTGCATTATTTCCAAAATATTAAAAAAGGGAGTCTTTGTGATTTTACCCCTTTGGCGGGGGTATCTTTGACCTGCAGAGAGCAGAGCTACTGAGGAGGGTCATGTGACAATCCCCGGGCGCCCTGAGTACAGCGGCCTGCTGACCCACAGGAACTCACTCTGATGTACCTGTATGGTCAGATGCCTGCACCAAATTAACAGAGGCCCCACTGGAAGAACCCCGGCCTCCCACTTGGTAGCCGAAACAGTATCAGCACGGACATTTGCGTTGTTCGATTAAGAGGATTGAAATGAGCTCACATGTTAAAGAAAATCACAAAAATGTTATTGCTTTTTTATTCTTTCCCGGAAGAAAAATGGGCTAAGTAAATGGGACCTAACTAGACACTGCAATCAAATGACCACTTGTAAGGTCAATCACTTAAGAATGCCACAATTGACTAGAGGATCTGAAAAATAAGGTAAATTGAAAGATAATCAAGGATTCTTTGGCTGGTAGGTATGGAGTGAATACAGTATCATATGTTTATATTTTCAACATGCTCATCTGCAGCTTCGAAGTAAGAATCAAGTTGGCAGTTGATGATTATTTTCAAAACTTTTAGGTATTACTTTCCTTACCTCCGCCCAATTTGAAAAACTTTCACTTTTAAACTTTTACTGTCCAGCATGTTCAGTCTCCTTCACTTCAATCTCCTTTCATTTTACTTTGCTATATAATAACAGATGAAATCCTTTCCCTAGTTGGTGTAATACTCATTTTGAAAACTGCAGATGGGAGCATTTCCTTAAAAAATATCTATTCTAGTATTTCCTGCCTATCAGTCTCATATTTATCCAGAAGATGTAAGGGAAATAAATGAGAAGAACATGGTTTACATGACTGCCACAAGTTCTTTGGGAACTTTAGGCTGACAGAGACCAATGTGAAACATTCATTATTGTAATAAATGACCAAAATTATACCCAGCATGTTTTTGATGCTGGAAAATAGTACAAAATTGATATACTTTCATGGTGTTTTTATCTTGACATAGCATCTCCTTACCCCTGCAAGGATCATTTTTCACTAAGAACTCATCAAGTGCCATCCATCCACCTCCAACACGAACCATTACGGTACTTCGTAGGATCCGAACGAGTCGCAGTTGCTGGGAGTCTCCAAACTGTGAAGATGAAGGAAGAAAGAACCTCTAATTGTCAACAGCAAGTCTACACTAAAGGATGATGTGCAATGTGCAGTAGCTTAAAAGCAACCAACTTAAATTTCTTGCTTAGTTCACAGCGATTAGTAAAATCTCAGAAAAGGGTATTTGAAATGATCTGCGTTAGACTGCTGCATGCTGATTTAGCCCAAAGGAAACAGTTTGGAAAAAGCTAACAAAGGTTATCAAGTATAATATTGAAGCTTTGTTCAAGAAATGATTTTTCTTCATGATAGAAACAATATTAGTAAGGCAGTAATTGAAAAATGTTTCTAGAAATCAAACACAGACATGAAAATAAGCACTGGCCCACTAGCCCAGGGCTTATAAGATTCTAAAGAAAATCTAATAAACTCTGATTCTTCTTCATTAAAACTTCCTACTAAAACTGTTTTCCGCTGAAATCTGTGAGAGAAATCTCCAGAAGCTCGTTTCATTTTCTCTAAGAGCAGTTGTGACTTAGAGAGATAAAGTAGTAAATGAACATGACCAACAAAAATTTCACAGTCAACTAAAATTTCTGCATCACTAATGATCTGGTAAACCAATTTGTTAAAGGCTGGATTAATGTGCCATTTTGGAATACTGTAATATTAGAACAGCCAGTGACACATTATTAATGATATAGCTTTCAAATCTAAAAAGCCTTCTCTTAAAGCTGTTTGTACCATAATTACAGACACTAATAAGCAGTTGAGTTCTTACCCTTTCAATGGATCTCCAATCACTTGGATACACTACAAATTCTGCAAGTCCTGAATAAAGGTCTAGACTACATAGTTTCTGATTGTAAGATTTATTTTGAAAGCCCATGAGAAATAATTTTATACTTTTAAATCATTTCTAATAGGCTCATGTTCAGCTTGTAAAAATCACCAAACCAAATTTCATGGCTGCCAACCCAGCAGATACCATAGCAAAATGAACAGTCAGGTAAGCATAAATAAAACTTCTTTTAAAGGCAGGTAAGATACAATTGTGACTTTGACTATTTGTCTGGGTTAATGATGGATAAACAGAAAGCTTTATTTTAAGTAGATACAATCTGCCACTTTTCAATATGCTTTAACACTGAGTTTCAGGAAAGGAGCCCTAAAACAAAGCCAACCATTCAAGACCCTGAAACTCAAAAGGACCTGGAAAGCATGTAAAATGCACCAGCAGGAACTCATGCGTTTTACATCAACCCTTTTTATATTGCTATTTCTAAGTCCATTTTCAAGGCTTGAGATTTAAACTTTCCTATAAAATGAACCGGTTCCTGAAAAGTAAATTAAAATTTAAAAATCAAAATATATATTTATTTTGTTAGAAAAAATTTGGTGCTGCTAATTAATAAGCAAAGGAAAAGGAAGGGATTTAAAGAAAATTACCCTTAAGAAACCAGATAATTAGACCAGACACTTTCGTTCCAAGATTATGTTCAAACAAAAGTTTTAAGGAAATAATGTTATTATTTTATAGAGATATTTCAATTCTAATAAATATGATTTACATTTATTTTGAGAGGGTATTCTCTGGACAACTAACATTGCCTTCAGAATTTCCCTAATTTTCCTAACAGCCAAATCGTGAGACAAGAAAAAAATAGGACTAATGTTTGCTCTTAGTGTTTTCAGTGAATAAAACCTTCTTAACCAACTGAGCCACCAAGGCACCCTGAATAAAACCTTCTTAAAGAGAGCACTTTTCTCATCCTTTCCACAAGTAAAAAATACTACCCCAATTGTTGATTCAGAAAATAACAAGAAGTGAGCAGAACAGTAACTTTTTATCTATTATAACTAATGCCAAGTCTTAAAGACATCTATTCAAAGGAACTGAAATTTCTATTTGAAAAAATTATGTGCTTGCAATGAATGGGGATAATAGGGAATTTGAAACTTGAGAGGTAATACGGCTTAAAAACCGAGTGGCAGAGTAATATCTAACATGATATGGTCAGGTATTATAAATAGTATGGTTCTTTCCAAAAGCATACAGTGAAAAACTCTTCTCTTTTGTTTAAATCAAAACACAATTTCTCTTTAGTTCTAAAAATTGTGATCATGACACAGGGCCACTGGACAGTTTATACTGACTTCAATGTAAAGTCAAAACGGGATAAAGTGTGATTTTAAGATTTCATAGAAGTTATAAGAGATACATTTCCTCAAAAGGAATGATACCAGAGTTAAAATTTCTACTCAGAAGATGCAAAGCCCTGAATCAGTGATTTAGGACAAATGGGACAATCGCTGCTTTGGAGAGAACACATTACCTGTGGCTGAGCGCCAGGGAGACTTCTCACTACTCTTGTCTTCCCACGTCACTGCCCAGTGCGGATCCTTCTCTAGCTACTGTCAACCACATGACCTCAATGTTTGATTTTTTTTTTTTTTACCTCAATAGTAAAACACAGCATAGAGATATGTGCAGCATCAAATCTGTGTTCCAATAAGTATTTGCATAAAACACATGCTAGCAGTCTCATTATAAACTGGAACTAAAAATTGCATTTGTAACACTGTGACCAGTCAAGCTACAATTTATTATCTGGTTTGCTTAAAAGTAATCTCCTCATTTGAGACACACGGCAAAAAGGAATCCTGGATCAAGGACCCTTAACAGCGTTTACAGAAACACCACGCCAACCAACAATGTAGTAGCTAGGGCAACAGCATGGGAAAGATTGGCCATGGCAAGCTTTAATGACTATGAATTAAAGTTAAAAAAAAAAAAAATCATTGGGAACTTGAGAATACATTCCACTGGTTTATACCTGATTTCCCAGGAAGAACTGATAAAAAAAAAAAAATGAAAAATGGAAGAAAGACACAATTAGTTCAATAGGAAACTTTCTATATGACTCTAGAACACACACATACAATCCTTCACACTCTGGGCTCCTGGATATAGTATCTAGTTTAGAGATGTGCAGGTACCCACTTCAAACCATATAATCAGTAAATTTTCTATAAAAGTTTTTTTTTTTTTTAAATCCTTGGGTTTCAAATTTAGGTTAGAAATTCAAATATGTCGAATATTTTTCAATATGAAAATATAAAAACTAAAATCAAAAAGAAATTTTGCTTGTAAGTAACATACTGTATTAGGGAAACTCAGCACATTTCCTATCTAGCTACTACATGTAAGAGATATTCCAAAAAAGAGAAGAAAAAGATAGAGGAGTGACAAAGTCACACTGGTGTTCAAATAATTATTTTGAAGAAGGTGAACTGAGCTTTTGAGATTCTGAATAAAAGGAAAAGTAACTACCCAAGTGGAAACCTTTGCCCCTTTTTCGTATTTCTGAAAATGATTCAACATTTTTAACTTCGTGGTTCTGCCTTTGAATAGCTTTATTAGAAATATAAAAACTTACCTGTAATCATAATAAAATATATTATAAAGTCATAGGAAGCAACCTGAGTATGTGGGATGTGTTTTCCTCCTCAAAGTGAAGCGTGTGTCAAAGACATGTCCTAATTTACAAAATGCAGGCTATCTCTATATAATTTAAAATGACAAAAGCTGGAATTTCATATACCATTCTATTGTGACGTAAGGTAAAAAATAATTAGCATTCCTGGAAAGCAATGCAGTTCAAATTGTATATAAATTTCCATTTTTATCCTTCAAGAGAACTAAACCGTTAATTTTTGAAAACTCACCCTGTATTTGTTGTCTCCAATCTGTTCAACTTGAAATCGTTTTGCACATTTACATTTCGCTACCTGCCTTGTCACCTGCCAAAAACAATGACGAAATGTCCACTTAAAGTTAACATTACATCGCGGAGTCCGTAAACCCCTCGACACAACAACTCAAGATGGAAGTACATAAGATAAAATGGCTGCATGAATTTGCACGTGGTATCCTGGCAGCGGCACAATGCTGCTGTTGCAGGGGGTGGGGGATATGGAGTACCTCATCTTCGATTTTGTCGGCATCAGTGACGGGTTTATAGGCGTCTTTATTTGGGTGAAGGGCTGCTACAAATTCGTAGTAGTCAATATACCCGTCGCCGTCTCGGTCAAAGATGTCTGCCACCGCGCTCATCTCCAAGCGGCTGGTTGGAAACTCTAAAATTTTCAAAATAATAGTAAAGTAAGATTACTGAAGTATAGCTGAAAAATAAAACTGTAAGATACTGAACGGTGTACATCGCAATGATCTGATCCTTGTACATGTTGTGAAAGGAGTCCTCCCATGAAGTTAATTAACACACCCACCACCTCACATATTTGTTTTTTTCTGAATGTTTAAGTTCTACTCAGAAAATTTCAACTACACAATACAGTGTTATCAACTGTAGCCATCAGGTTATACTTCAGATCCTTAGACCTTACACATCATACAGCTTAAAGTTTGTACCCTTTTACCAGGCTCTGCCTATTCCCTCCCCCACCACCTCCCAGCCCCTGGCAACCTCTTTTCTACTCTCTGTGAGTTTCACTCTGTATGTAGATTCCACGTATAAATGATAATTAAGATACTCTCAGAATAAGCCATACTACATTCCCAGTGAAAGTTGTTTTTGTTTTTTGTTTTTTGTTTTTAAAGATTTTACTTATTTATCTGACAGAGAGAGACACAGCAAGAGAGGGAACACAAGCAGGGGGAATGGGAGAGGGAGAAGCAGGCTCCCCGCAGAGCGGGGAGCCGGATGTGGGGCTCTATCCCAAGACCCCGGGATCATGACCTGAGCCGAAGGCAGATGCCCAACGACCGAGCCACCCAGGCGCCCCACCAGTGAAAGTTTTTAAGACCTGCTATTTATAACAACATTTTACAAAAAGATTTAATCTTAAAAAAAAAGTTAAGTAGTATAACTTGCTAATTCTGCCTCAACTGTATTATTTTTATCTTAATGTAGCCAGTTAAATTATCAGAGTCATCAAACATATTAAAATCCTCTTAAAAGCTGATTTATAGCATAACAAATGAAACCACTATATATGGGACCTATATTTATCTTTAATTACTACCAGGGTGAATCATTTGAAATTGCTGTTTTACTAGGTTGAAAACTGTTTAAAATTAGCCAATTTCATATGGTTCAACTACCACTCTACTTAAGGAATATATGAATTATATATATATGAATTCATATCATATATACTCATATGATTATATAAAATTTAAGAATTATTTCCAGTAACATCTGCCAGAGAAATCACGTCCATATGACTCAACCATCAAACAAGGTGACACATACCTTAAGAATTTTTATAGAGTTCTAATTTCCCACTAATGACAAGAATTAAGTATCAATTAGAACAAAAAAGGGAAGAGGCTGACTTGAATTGATTGATTTCCCATTACAGGTCGGACAAAACAAACAATCTAAGAATCAGATTATTAGCTTTATTATACTAATGAGGACACAGCTGCAGTGGAACAAGGAATATACTAACTGCAGTTACATGAGTACGAAGTATGCCTGACTCCAAAACCACACATTTCACCAAGGACACGTCACCGAGGGCAGTGACTTCATAGCCAAGTTTAAAGGCAATGCTTCACTGGTAACACAAGTTTAAACTGTGCTTATTTTCTTTAAAAATGACATCATTTAGAGTCATCTCTCTTGGGACTTACTTGAGGAAAGAATTCCATCAATAAATTCTTGTCGGGTTATTTTCCCGTCCTGATCTTTATCAATTCTCCTGAAGAAGTCCATCACTCGAGATTTCTTATGATTCATCCACCTCATGTATTTTTTGCGCCAGATATCAAAATCAAAGTTAGCAAATTCCCTCAGCTGGAAAGGACAAAAGGTATTTTGGTTCATATGGGGCTCAAATGATATCTCATACTTTATGAATAAAGTTATTTTTAATGACCTTCCAGATCACGTACAGGTCTTTCTGACTTCAAAAAAAAGGTCTGATCTTGCAAAGGGAGTACAGGAACATCTTTCCTGGAATTTCACTCCTGTCACTGGTTTTTCTTTTCAAATAAAAGAAACAAATAAAGCTCCTCAAGAAGTCAAACTGAAAATTTCTGAGAGTGCCAATGTGACAAAGGTGGACGGCCCCAAAGAAACACTACTGGTAAGTTCTATGCCCACCAGACAGCAGGCCCAGCTCAGCAGCACTTACCACCTCTGCTCTCTCCCTGCTGTTTGCCATTCTACCTTCTCTAGGTTTCTAAAAACTTCACAGTTTCAGAATCTGAAACTCTAAATCTCAGACCACAGAACATATATATATATATATATATATATAATGAAAATATCTGAATTATCAATAGTAATATTTCCCAGGTAATACCAAGCAAACATATGTTAAGCTGGATCTTTTCTTATGCAGTCAGCTTCTGATTATGTTAAAACATATTATAGTGGACCCTTGAACAACATGGGTTTGAACTGTGTGGGTCCACTTTCATGCAGGTTTTTTACAAAATAAAAAAAGATGTATTTTCTCTTCCTTGTGATTTTCTTAATAACATTTCCTTTTCTCTAGCTTATTTTCTGGTAAGAATACAGTATATAACACACACAACATACAAAATTTGCGTTAATTGCTTATCATGGGTAAGGCATTTGGTCAACAGAGGCTACTACTGATAAGGCTTCAGGTCAACAGTAAGCTTTTAAGCATTTCAGTTTTGGGGAATCAAAAGTTATACATGGATTTTTTGACTATGCAGTGTGTGTGTGGGGGGGGGGCAGGGAGGGGGAGGATGCTGGCATCCCCAACCCTCATGTTGTTCAAGGGTCAACTGTTGTTTTTTACTTTATTGATTCCCTAAACCCACATCCCATATATCAGGGGTGCTGAATATAGGAGTTTTCTAACCTCCTCCAGTCTGTCCAAGGCGTCATTAAGCTTTCTCCTCCTTTCCAACGCAAGGAGCCAAACTTGCTGCCATTTGCTCACCAATAAGTTGACCCTGGGATTCTTGGTTTCAATTTGTGTCTGTGATCCAGAGGGATATAAGCTTGATGCCGGAAAGCGCTTTCCTATTAAAATACAACTTCAGTTAGGAGGACAGTTTCCAGGGTTCTGAAATATGTTAAGGCCTGGCCTTTATTGTTCCTAGCTAAGACTGAATCAACTTAATTATTTAGAAATATCTTATTTAGATGATGTATAATGTTCAAGTCCAGATCTGTTTTATTTACCAAGGATCACATAATTTTCATATAAAATAGAGAAACATATCCTGACAGGGGCATTTAAATACTGGAAAGCTCTCTTTATAAAATTATGTTTAAAACATTTTCCAGCTTAAAATCCATGCCATTTCACTGACAACGAAGTACCTTGTGATCCTGTCTTTTGTTAAGGCATGATAAAAGAAATCTCCCAGGGCAGTGAGACTTATCTTAGAATCAACTACACAAAACCAGCTGTCCTTCTTAGAAAAGATGGCTAGAAGGAGGGCAAGTGAGGGCAGGAGACAGTGGCCATTCATTTGAGTCACAGCAAGATACTTTACAAATTCTGATCAAATATGGACGTGTGTGTAGGATCCCAGGTTTCATCCAAGTCCATTTTCCACAGAGATTGTATGTTTCCTGTGCATAGTCTCATACCCCAATTTACTGCCTTACTAACATTTTCTCCCTCTTTTCTGGCTATTTTTCACAAGTTTCTATAACATCAGAGAACAACTGTCTCAATGGATTTTCCTCATCTAACTAAATGGTTAAATGTGCCCTAGAAAAACTACTGGCCTAAAGTCATAAAGGAAGTGAGCGTCCAAGCTGGGATTTGCCCAGAGTTCCTAACTCCTACGAGGCTATACAAAAATACCAACAGCTAATATTTATTGAGCATTTAACTACATGCCAGGAAGTATGCTAAGCGCTTCATACACATTAGCTCATTTAATCCTCACCAGAATCCAATGAGGTTATAATTATCCCCTTTATAAATGTGTAAATTGAGGCTCAGAGAGAGTGTAAGTAACTTGTCCCAGGTTCAATTTCCCAGCTGGTAAGGAGTCTGCCTCCAGAGTTCTTAACCACTTTGTTACCTTGTCCCCTTGTGTAATACAGCAACTACAAAAGATGTGAAATCATTTTATTAAAGCACCATTTGGGAATATATAAAATTACCACTATTCAGATATAAATTGTGCTTCTTTTAAATCTTCTCCAAGCCAGCTATTATTGTTTTTAATGTCCCTTTGTAACTTCATTTCGTGGAGTCAAGGTAGTCTGAGAAGTAAATAGAGCCTGAAGTCATATGAATATGGGCAAAATCTACCAGACTGCTGGCCACTAATGAACAGTTAGGTCGTGAACTTTATCCAGGTCATGGTCATTTCTGTTACATCCCACCATAAGGTTATTTACATAATAGAAGCAAAAGGGGATGATGGTTTCTGTTCTTGTTGCAAATTTTTTCCAATTTCTTCTAGCTAATCTAAAAGATAACCTTCAAGCAAATAAAACTACACAGAGAGACCTGGATATATCTTTTTCTTTATTTTTAAATAAGCTGCTACAATATTTGAGCCCATGTATTCTTTCAAGGAAAACTTTTATGACAGAGAGGAGCTCATAGAATCACCAATTGCTCTGAAATTTCAAACGACAACTCAAAACTAACTTCCTTGGCTTTAGCCATGTAAGAAATTGGCCACTGCTTACTTCCTGCTCGTCCCTTATCCAGGACTGGAATATGGGACTGTAATGAGGAAGGATCAGCCGCTCTCCTCTTGTAGGTCTTGGTAACTTTGTCCACATCAGGTTGTTTTCTGGTCATTTCCTCCATGAAGGTCTGAAATGTCAATGTCAGTTAAATATAAGTACATCAGAGAAAACTATCTTCAGAAATGAACTAAAAACAAAGGATAAAAAGACCATGCTATTATTTCTGAAATTCATCCTGGAAAAAAAGGCATAAACCAACTTGTTGTATCTTTAGGGGGAAAAATGTAAGCCACCATAACATAGCATTTACTCGTATCTAAAGAATATAAAATGTTATACCTGGTAAGTAATTAGAGCACTGTAACAGTAATTTGTTTTAGTTTGAAGACCACACATGGGAACAGCTGAATAACTGATATAACCTATCTGTGTATCAACCAGGATCTTCCAGAGCTTCCAAGCTCTTCCTGAAGAATCTTAAAGTGAGCATTTATCTGCAAAGCAACTAATTACCTGGGCTGGTCCTTAGGGCTTCTCTGCGGCACATTTCACTTACATACTTGAAATACTTAGGATGGCTTTGATATACAGTGACATACAGCAACCACATTAAATATGGATATATTTTAAATTATTTCTGTTGATACATACGCTATGCCAAGGGAGATAAAAGTTATTCAGGTTAAAGTTTCCATTTAAGAGGTCTGACTATCTTGCTACTTCTTGTCTTGTCTCCTTAGGCTTATATTATTATTGCTAACTTAGATATCCCTATATCTGGAATATGCAGCAAAGACCAAGACTGTGGTGAAAAGGGATGAAAAAAAGAGGAGGGGGATAAAAGCGAAGAGTGGAGAAACACATTTCTGGAATATCTGTCACACTGGAGAACTCTGATCACAGAGAACATGGCGTGAGGCCCTTCAGGGCCATTACGGACATCGATGGCTCAGACCTTTATTAAAAATCTAATAGCAATATTAACTGCTTAGTCAACTAAGCTGACTTAGTAATGTTTCCCTTTGTAAAAGTGTACCAAACAAAGTAACAAGCAAACAAATAAATCAGAGGTAGTGTGACACCCATCATTTCAGTTTGAAACAGGTAGGATAGAGAAGTCATTTTTTTTTTTTGAGCAAGACGATGCGCTCCCTTGTAGACAGGATGTATTTGAAGTACAGACGGTCACCGTGGGAGATGTGTAGCAGCAGAGAGTAGAATATGCAAGGATGGAACAATAAAGGACGGGAGGGCGAGGTCGCCAGAAGATGGAGCAGAAGGACAGGGTGGAGCGGAAGGTAAGTGTAAGGAAGGACTTGAGTGTGTTCGAGGAAGTGAAGGTAACAAGCACAAAGCACTCTTCTGAGAAGTACGGTAGTGAAATAAAAACAGTACCTGAGAAGACAGGGGTTAGGATGGTATTTATTTTACCTGGTGTTCTGCGATGAGGGCTTTCACCTCTTCGATTTCCTGGGGGATGACTTCTTTGTCCTTGTCACTAAGTGTAGTCTCGGCCCACTGCAACCAAGCCAGCAAAGCTTCCAACAATTCCTGTTTCGCAATGAGCCCAGCCAGAGCACTTGCCAATCTCTGCTGATGCTGCTTCGCCCAGGCCAGCACCTGTTGGGGAGACAAATATCTCTGAATTTCATCCATCTCAGGTAATAATTTAATCGATGTAAAAATACACAGCATTTAAATGAAAATTTGGATCATCCTGGGCCTGGAGTCATAACACTTCCAGTCTTTCTAGATCCCATCAGTGGTACCAAGACCCAGCTTGCGGAGGACATGAGAGCCCCCTCTGATGTTTGCCCCCTTACTTAGAGATGGGTGTCAAACACCCAGGCTTCCTTGAGATTTCTAATCTGAGTTCAGATATGCATTTTCTGAAGGCTCAAGGATGCTTATTCCATGTAGCACTGAGTGGAAATAAAAATAGCTAAAATCTTAAAATACAGAGTTCAGTTCATGTACGCAATCCATTCCCCAAGCATATACTCCCCTGAAGTACAATTCCGGTGCTGGATTACTCGACAGAGATAATGTGGAAGTGGGACAAAAAAATCATACAGGGAACCAAATATTTGCCTTTTCATGCTTCAGGGACATAGCTGCAAAACGGCTTTAACTTTTTAAATAAAAGCAGACTGCAGAGACAGGTCATGCACACAGGAAGGTATTTTAAAGAGCATTTTTCTTTGCAGAGGCCTCCTGTTCCCATGGTCATAAATGTATCTCAACTGCTGAAGTTTCTTTACCCCCAATTCTCAAAGCTGTTGCTGCTCTAACAATGACCTGAGACCCACTGACCTCCTCAAACCTGGCCCGGATGATGGTTATCCAGTGCTTAATGGTGGTGATGGAGTCAGGGTGGCAGATGGCCAGGACGGCGTCTCCCATACTGGTAGCTTTATTCAGCGCGGCCCGTTTTTCTTCCAGTTTCTTCATGAATTCCTAGGGCAGAAACAAAGACCTCGATTAGCTGCTGGCTCTGGCTGAAAACAAAACTCCAGTGACGTGCATGTGACCGTCAGAGTTAGACAATACACGAGAACTTCAGTTGCTTCATTCACAGCTGGAAATAATTCACTAATTGGGGAATTAAGAGAGGAGAAGGGACAAAAATGGGAAATGAAGTACTTTCTAACATTTATTTCTAAGTACATGGATAACATCTCATGCTTTACAAAACATGTTATGTACAAAAAACACTCTTCTATATCTGGATATCTTATAAGTATAGTAATGGAGAATAGGACTAGGAGAGATAGTATTACCAGAGACAAAAATAATATAGACTGAAAAAAAAATGTCCTAACAAGTAAGACTAGGAGGTTGTATATTTAAAATAGCATGAACTGTGTGCCAGGAATGAGAGGAATATGTACCAAAAAGGAAGAGAGAAGGGTGGGCAAGGAACTATAAATGTTCGGGGTGAGGGAGAGAGGGCCCAATGTCCAGCAGGAAAGAGCTGGGGAGAGCCTGAAGGGGGTGAGCCTGACAGCCTGACAGCCAGAAACAGCCATCCCCTGCTCTGGTGGGATGAAGAAGCTTTGACGGGCTTCAAAATGCTTTCAAATCAACCTTTTTGCAAATGTCTCACACATATAACTGTACTTTCTACCATCAGAACTGTATCCATAGATACAGGAGTCACAGAACTCTGAAAGTGTGGCTACAAATGAGGACCTCTGCCTTAAAAAAAAGGTCGCATGCTTCCAAAACCTCATAGTGAGTTTCAAGCATCCGCCAGCACCCCAGTCTGGACCATAGCACTAAGACGGATTCCTTAGTCCGGAACAAGGGCTGCAGAGGCTGCAGAGAGAGCTGACACTCCGTACTGCCCATGCCATGTGATCAGGGTGATCATCTGAAAATCTAAGTGTTTCCTATAATGTCTAGTAACCTTTTGTTTTCGGGCTCTGTGACGCAGCTCTGTCATATACCTCCTACTCTGACATGTTGCTATGTTTCCTCACATACTCTCCCTGGACATTAAGGTCCACAAGATCAAAAGACTGTGTCTTATTCAATTTTGTGTCTTTGTGACTGAATAAATGCTTTTTAACTTTCATTTACATATTTTTACTGCTGTCGTGTCAAGGTTGGATTAACAATATACTCCACTAACATGACCTACTTTTTAAATATCATAACCTACTTTTAAAAGTATTTTAATTTCCCCCAATATAGATCTGCTTAACTGGAAGGAAAAAAAAAAAGCTTTACTAGGAAGAGAAAACCAGAAGTCAATAATAGCTGTGCTTTCCCAAGGACAGGTGATCTGACCATATACCTTTAATCACCCCTAACCTAGCAGCGCAAGAGTCCTGCCCAGAGTGCCGTGGGCTGGACGATCAACCCCTGCTTGCATTCTGTGCTCACCTGGGAAAGCTTGCCATTTTTAGAAAGTGGATTGTACTGAGAAGTCTCTGGTCCTGGGGCTAAAAAATTAAATATCCTGTTTTACTTTTATTTGGTCATGTGTGAAGAAAGCAGAGGAAATTAGAAAGAATGGATGATGTTACTGCAAATTATTAGTACTAAGCAGCCCTTTATAAAATTACATGTAATTTTACACTATTTAAAAATATGTAAAGATAAAACAAAAACAAAAAACCCCACAACACTACCTCTGCTGTGGACATCCTGCCTCCTGATGTTTCTGGGGGTTTCCTGTTCCTGCTATGAGGGTGGTGACACCTTACTGTAAGGTGTTAGATATTCAAACAGGGCTTCAAGAAGCTACTCTGAGACCCAACTGTGTCAGTGGAACTCGAGCTCTTCAAAACACTGAGCCGAATCAAAAATTTATAATAAATTTGATGTCATTTTCCTACTCTTACATTCTAGCTTCGATTTTAAATGGTTTATGGAGCATTCCATTCCTCCAGATAATGTTAGACAAGCTCGCATCACTTTCATTAATGACAAGGCAGTATTTCATCGCTATAGGTTAGGCAACCCATCATTGAAAGAGCACAGTCATCACAAGTAAGAAGTCTCCCCAGATGACATAATCTACGCTACCCTGGCACTAATGACATCCTTCGAACCTGACACTGGAAGATGAGCTATTCAGGGGTGTTAAACAGACCTTTTAAATGAACATGTTGACACCAATATCGCATTCAGTGTTAGCACTGCAAAATTTCTAATTTTTTAAAAGTCAAATGTTAAAAAAAAAAAAAAACCCACATGTGTTAAGAGGTATCCAGACCACTCTCTTGAGGGTTTTGCTAGTTCTAGGCACTGTTACAAAATAGAAGTTGACCTGAAAACTCAGTGGCCATATTTTTATTTGGTTAACTATTCAATAGTGTATCTACTTACAGAATTCATTTTAAGTTTATAATTTATACTACGGGCTACTCCTCAAAAGAATTTAAGGTGGATCTCGATTAAAGCCAGAACTGGCAGAGATTGAAAAATAAAATTTTAAGACCAGTTACTAAATTACTTGCTTGTCTTCTTCATAAAGAAAGCATGGAAAGATAGCTACACTTATTTGGGTGCATGGGGACACACCTATGTAAGCAAGGAGGACACGGGTAAATTCTCAAATGTGCCAGATCTTTAATTACTTCTCAGGAAGGGAAATATGCATGCAGTTCATATCTACAATCATGAGTCTATTGGATTTTCTCATTTCATTTTACTTAGCATTTATATAACTCACTTTATGCTGATCAATGAGCGTCCGAAGAGCATCCTCGTCGTCTGGGAGAGCACCATGGAAACGAAGGGTTTGCTCCGCCTCAGCCAGCCACTCCAGCAGGGCATGCACCACTGAGTGAAATTCCTCTGCCTAACAGTTCACACACACACACACACACACACACACCCCGAAGAAGATCCCCAAAGATGCTTGTTAGTATAGAGTCCTTCTCTCAATGAAAAAAAAAAAAGTCTTACATTTACATTGATTAACGATATGCATCATTACCACTAAAAAGATAAAGATACATGTTGCTACACTTTACAAATGTAAGACCTCTAATATATCAAAAAGGCCTATATGAAGACTAATTCACCATTTTAACAATCTGATGTTAGATGCAGAGCAGCCCATTACACATTCGGGCTGAAAAATTAAGAGAGCAGCACTTTTATGTGAAGATGAGAAAACTTTCCTCTGTGACTAATTTAAATTCTTGGGGGGAAGCAAGGCAAGGATGCTCTAAGAATCTACTCCTCCATCACTGTCCCAGTTAAGAAAGGAGGAGTGAAGCAGTTCTCCACAAGAGCAGTTCTTGTTGAGGCTTTGCTAGCTTTCTCACTACCCCCAGCTGCAATTTACAAGACTTCTACCTGACGCAGGGCTGCTTCCAAGCGTGTCTGCTTTGATATGGAGAGTGCACACACGGTCTCCCAGCGTGTGCTCAATTCCTGCATCTGGACCTTGACCCAGGAGGAGTCGTCTCGGCTACCCTCTATGAGCTCTCGTGCCGAGCGCTTCAGGGCCTGCACGCTGCTGGTCCTCTTCCCCAGTTCTTTTTGGAAAACCTAGAAAGAGCATATTTTTATAAAAAATTTATTTTTAACGACAAAACGAAACCAGTAAAACACAGCTGGAATATATGTGTACATGACTCATGTACCAGTCTCTAAGATCTACAGTTTAATGAGTCATACTTTTCACAGAATCTTCAGGAGCTAAGTCATGACACATTGCTCCTATCAGAGCGCTGTGAAGAACATGGTAAAGTTGTTCAATCTTCTAGCACTCTCCTGAGTGAACAAACCTTAATTTTCAAATGATGCCTTGGATTTAAATAATGGTGGCCACTCAGTTTCAATGGCACAAAAGAAAACATCACATTCTCTTTTTTCTATAATTCTTTAGTACGGCATCCCAATTCCTCTCAAATCCTCTAAGTGCCCAGATGTGCAGGCTACCTCATTCCTCTTAATTAACAGACATATCCAACAGACTAACAAAGAACTAAGCAATCTTGGGGTACTGCACGGGGGTTACTGGAGGGAATGGCAGGGGTGCTCACAGGGAAGTGGTGTGCAGTCTTTTTCTCTGCAACACGGCTTCAGCTTTCGGTATCCTGAGAACTAACCTCCAGTGTCAAATTTTAGATGCTTACATCCTTACCTGTCATTTTGGAAGAAAAGCTTTTTTCCCCCTCTTACCTAATTTTGATAAACTTTGATGTGTCAGGAGTTAGACTGGCTTCTTTTGGCCATAGACCTAATCCAAAAAATGAGCCCAGGGTCCTTCATTTCTGATCCAAGAGTCTGTGTACACAACTATATCTTTCAAATTAACCAAGCTTATTTTACTATATGTGCTGCCGAAGCGAGCACAAATTAACCAAGCTCATGGATAGAATAATATTAACTTATTTTTCTAAAAGATGATCACAAATGAATTATTACTAAGCACATCTTATCATTTTGGCTCTATCCATGAGTTTCTATTCTGATAATCAGATCATTCATGAAAGTGAGGCCATCAAAAACAATCCAAACATAGTGGAATGAATTATTTGCTTGATTTCACTCTAATGGTGTTAAATGAGATGTGTCTGAAGACAGACAGACACACACACACACACACACACATACACACACAGGCACAGAAAATACAGTGTTTATATAATCTGTTTGTGATAGGACTAGCCCGATAGTTCTGAGCAGACTTGCCAATGTACTTTGTGAACTTAAACTTCTTCCCAAGCCTTCCAGTTGTATTACTAATGCTGAATGATTAACTTATTCTTGATGACCTTTAATATATAAAAACCTGGCAAGTGCTGAAGGGAGTAAATATTTAGACAGTGAGTTTATACAAATGGCATTTATGTAAAAAGTAACATTACACTATTCATTACTCATTGAATGAATGCCAAGGAATAAGAAAGTTTGTATTAATCATGCACAAAACATTTGTTTCAATATAGGCAAAGCAACAAAACTCAAAATTCTTAATTTTTGTAGGCCCAATCACAATTCTTCATTTATTCTTTGATAATATTCAAATGCAACAAACTCTCTTTTATAGATATAATCAGATAACAGAACCAGAAAAGGGGAAATAAATATGCAAAAGGACCAACTATTTAAAAAGGAACAGGTTAAGATCAAAATAGCATAGCTAGGGAAGTATAAAGAAAACATTTTAAAATGAAATAAATTTTCTGAGTTCAAAAATAACAGAGGAGAAATAAAATATGAGTTCAAGTACAGTGCTGTAAGATATTTGTATATAAAGTCTACTCTGGTACAACCATTCCACATTACTACTGTGCCTCAGATTGTTTTCGAGGTTCTTTAAGTTGTATTATAACATTTTACCATAATTTTGGACCTTGCACTCAGTATCAGTTGGAGGTCTTGAATATTCCCTTTGATTGGAACAAAAATTTTAAATCCATCTCAGGAGATTGCAAGGAAACCACCTGACTTAAAGTAATAATCGAATCCCTCAGAGCCTACGCTGATAGCTCATAAATTGCTAGAGTTCAAGGGGCAAGGTTAAAACAGTTTTTCATAACAGAAAAGCAGCCTATCTTGACCCCCATAGATCATGTCACAAATTCATATACTTATGCAATGACCAAGTTCCAGGTTACTGAGGGAGTGATTTTAAATTACATTACATAATTATTTACATACATAACAAAAGACTGTAAAACATTCTTGGAACATGTTTTAAAGCACCAGAGAATGAAACCACTTTCTAAGTTCTAAAAGGTTTTAGATCTGGAAATTGGAAGAAAAAAAAAGTATCTCAATTGATACTAATTTCCCTGTATCACTTTTGAAGTTGGCTTCCTGATTCTGCTCAAATGTACACATGTATCAATATTAAAGACTGTTATGCAGTATGATATATAATCTCCAGATTTTAAAAGGCTAAGGTAAGGGGTTACAGTTTCCTCTAATCTCAGGATAATCAATGAGATCAATCAAATGTCCCAGATAATAATACCTTGTGATTATCGATCAGATTCATCACCAAATCAATGTCTCCGTGGACAGGTTGGTCTTCTGCCAGCTGGGGTTCAACTCTATACAGCCAATCAATGAGGGCCTGCAAGGCATCTGTGAATTGTCCAGAAAATAACAGGGCTTCCTCCAATTTGTTTTGTCTGGGGGAAAAAGGTGGAAAAATCAATCTGAGCAACAAAAAAGCCACCCTATATATCCGAACATCTAAAATCCATTTATGAAGGTTGAGCAGTCCTCAAAGAAAAAAGCAATATATTGGTATTCAATGCTGTTTCTTTGCTTTCCTTAGAAAATAACAAAACTTTTCTCAAATTTTCTTTGTTATTCCTTAAATAGATCGCATCTGTTTTCGGAAAATTCCCTCATCATCACCTCTAGAAATCACTGACCCTTCACAGTTTCTTCATTAAAAAAAATATGCTTTAAAATTTTTTTTTGTTTTAAATTATCATACAGTAAACTTGACTTTTTTGAGTGTACAGTTCTATGAATTGTAACACATGTAGAGATTCATGTAACCATCATCATACTCAAGAAACAGAACAGTTCCGTCATCCCCCTAACGTCCAACATGCTGTCTGTGGTCACAGCCTGCCCCATCTCCAACCCCTGGCATTCGTGTGTCTGTTTGCCATGAAATCATTTATAGGACATTGTAAAAAACACATAATCTTTTGAAATTGAAGGTTTTAAGGATTTTAAAAAATTAACACCAAAATTTCTATATTCTTTCTATATATACTACAGACTATATTCTAATTTTCTATTCTAATATAATTTTATTACTAGAATATAATATTCTATTTAACCTTGATACTGACAGAAGTAATTAGATCAAGGATATATGAATTATTTGAACACATTTCTAAGATATTTGAACTCTTCTACTAGTATTATACTTCCTAAGTACTTAAAGATTTTGAAATTAGTTCTGGGTCTTCACGTTTCAAGTAAAATGAGAAAGAAGACTGGAAAGAGGTGGATGGAGTTGGAAGGGAACACCAGGGTCAGATTGGGAGGAACTTGCCCACCACATTAAGGAGCCTGTGTTTTGGTTCACACTCAGTATTAAGTTCCTAAAAGGTATGAGGCAGGGCAATGACAAGATCCCATTCATATTTTAAAAAGACCACCCTCGTAGTTATGGGGAAATTGGATTAAGGAGGACAAGAGCAGACATGGGGAGACCAGTGACAAGTCACGTATGAGAGGACAGGCTTGGAGAATAATATCACTTTTGAGTGAATCGAGTAATTAAAAATAAATAATAATGAACAACGAAGTGTTCTCGGTGCAGGCAGTATGTAATTACGATATTACAGATGACCAGAAGTTCCCAGGCAAAGGAGGTATTTAAGGTTCCTAGAATGTTCCTACAAAGCAGCACCACAATTGTATACTCAAAAGAAGCCTACAAGTTAACCAAACTGCCTTAAAGAACATTTTACCTTTCCACAGATTTTCCACAGATAGTATCCCATTTGTCTCTGAGTTCACTCAGCATGTCATCCAGTTTAAGGTTGTCATCAGCCAAGGAGGTTTTCTCCTTCAGAGAACGTCCAGTTCTGTTGGTGGTGTCATAGACAGAATGCTTGGCTCCAAGTGATTTCTGAAACTCCTATATATTTAACAAGAAAACAGTATGCATTTCTACTTAGGACTAATAAATAGGTAAGAGGCATTACAAGAGTCGCCCCTAATAAATGGAGTCTAAATAGAGGAAGACATCAGGAAATAATCAAGTCCAGGAATTTTATAATTCCAACCAGGGTGGAAAAGAATCTTTATAAACTGAAGAATTTATTTTTCTCAGAAACCAGGTGTCTTTGAGAGTACCTATTACTATGAAGACAATAATTTCAAAGCAAAACAAATCTTGAATCTTTTGTAGCTATAAACCACAAACAGTATACTGGTTATAATAAAATGAAATTGCTAATCGACTATTGAAAAACCCAAGAGTTTGGAAAGGGAAAAGTAGTTAACACTCAACGAGTAACTAAAGGTCCTATGTGGACACAGTGACTCATAATCTGTAAATTTACTACAGTTTTGGTTTTTGGTCAGACAGATCTGTTGTCACACATCTTGGATGTTCACAGTGATGTTACATATAATTTTATCTGTGAGCCAGGATGAGGGACAAAGAAGAACCACATCTTGAAATTCCTACATTCTGACCTACTGCTCATTCTAGTCACACCCCTTGGCAAGCCTATCCCCCTCCTCCTCACCTCTATGATGCCTTACAAAAGTCTCTCGGGATCTACAGATTACTTTTCCAGTATCAAATAGCTATGTTGCTAATGTGACATCTATACTTTGCTATTTTTACATTGTTAAACTGCATGTTTGTGCATGTAAATGTGTATATGTGTGGGAGGGCTGGATTATATTCTGTCTACACAACTCGGTTACAAGCTTTTCTAGAGCAGGGACATTGTCTTTGCAGGCCTCTCATTATCATCTTCTATCTTGTGTGTGTTTTTAAGTATGTAATAGCAAGGATGAGACAGCTACTGAATATACACTCTCAGGGATGGGAAGGAAGGAAGGTCAACTTAATCAGCATCTTACAAGCTTATAATAATATATCACGGAAACACCACCACAGTGATTCCAAATCCTGGTAGCACACGAGAATCAGCCTAGATAATAAAATGCTATGCAAATGTATAATTTTCCAAAATAACCTTGGTTATAATTACCTAATGAGCTTTTATTGCCTTTAAAAGCTAGACACTTTAAGTGTCTTAATATGACTAAGATATTTATTTTGTTTTATAATAGGAAGCCACTTCATCCGGGAATTTTTAAGCAATAAACACCATTACAATACCACACTATTTCTGTAGTTTTTTTCTCTCACTTTTTTCTTATTATTCAATAACAGAATGTTAGTTTTAGAATCCTGGTATTGACAGATTTTTTTCAAAAGAACAGATACATAAAAAATGTTATAGCTGAATACAGGACAGATTAAAACTTTTTAAAAACAGAAAAATACCCAAAAGATGAACAGAAATGACTTTTAAAGTTGGCTTAATGTACCTTGTACCCTTATCTCAGACAAATGCTGACTTTGGCAACAAGTCACACTAGGAAAAATAGAGAATCCACCAGGGTTCTTCACATATTCTTATTTCTAGGGTTCTCCAACTTACTCACACAGTATACTTTCATAAGATTCCATGACATGACAACTATGTTCAAGTTCAAATAGGCATTCTATTTTGAGAAAGAGCCTCTCTTTTTTCCATCAGAGGGGAAGGAAGGAAGGTGCTGCTCACTGTCATTGTGCTGTCAGTATTGAGTGTGGCAGATCAAAGGCAGAGGGTGCCAGCAGAACAAGCCACTCATAAGTCCTCATCTAGTCAAAGAACAGGTGCTCAATGTTTCCTTCTGCCATCCTAGGATCATGACCTCCCGAGCTTAGTTAGAACCACCCAGGGAAGCAATCAACCTATATGAAGATGATGGCTAGAACTTCCCATGATGATAAATCCTACATCACCCCAATTTTTTCCAGCTTTTTAAAAATTATCATGTTTCAAGCAATAATATATATGTAGATGCTTAAAACTATAAAAGTGTTTTTTCAGGACCCACTCTCTTTCACCCATATCCTCACCCTGAGGGCTGATGATCACTTTATAACCAGAATGACGGACCCAAATTCAAAGAGTTGAGGAGGACTGGGGGGAATGTTCTTTGAATGCCATGTGGTATGAATATAAAAGGGAGAAAATATAAAATAATATGTTTCTACACCTTCTAGTCTACACAAGAAAGCCACTAACTATGTGTCTTTGAGGATAAGGATGGAATTTCATATACAACACATATACAATAAAATACCAGTTTGTGTAGAGGCAACCAATTTTTCCCCACTAAACTGTTTTGAAAGAACATATATGACAAAATTTACATTACTTTTTGCTGTAAAATTATCTTCTACATGGCATTTGATCTATAAAAGAAATTACAAGACAGACATGTGGAAAACTGAAATGCCAACATTTGAGCTCCTATAAATCTTCTATGTTATAGATTATAGAACATTTCAGTTTTCATTTTGTGTATTTTCTTTTAACAATTCACCCTAGAATAGTGGAATAGTCAGCAGAGAGAAAAGATACTATTGCCACTTGACCAATGTGAAGGGTAATCAGTTTTAAATTTAATGGAGGTCCATACTGGACAGCCTTTTTTTTCCTAGTGATGAATAAATACACAACCAAGTAAGAATTTAAAAGTCATCTTGAGATACAGAACGACATATATGCTTTTCTTAACTGTAGACCCACCTTATGCTGTGCAAGTTGTGTTTTTATCTTGTCTGGATCATTGGCGATTTCCAGTTCAGAATCCAAAGATTTTTCTGATTCTTCTAGCCATTCCATAAGTTTACTCCAAGCTTCATGGAACTGTAAAAAAAATGTACATCTCCGTCCAGAAAATTTTCCAGTGTGCTCGCTATATTAGAAATCTAGCATATTTTTAAAATAGAAATTAATGTTAATGAAAATGTTAAAAATTATTAATTCAAATTTCCCCTAAAAAAGAAGAAAGTAGTAGCTTCATCGGATTACGAATGTCTTATTAACTCTTGGTTTCTGTGGTCGTGTCCCCCCATGGTCACTTTGTTATAACTCATTCAAACACATAAACTTTAACAAAAACAGAAATGAGCCTAGAAACAGGGAACCAGGGAGAACTTCCCTCCCTTTCCTTTTGCTTAGTAATTAACATAACCTGTCAAGAAAATTTTATTTGTCCACTGCCCTCGTTGACAGATCTGGGTTTACTTCTGAGGTGTTTCACTCCCATGTTAAGGAAAAGGAACAAAGAGAGAGGGATGAAGGATAAAGTTTATAAATCGGTCTTAAAAAGTAACAAGAACGGGTGCCTGGTGGCTCCGTCGTTAAGCGTCTGTCTTCGGCTCAGGTCATGATCCCAGGGTCCTGGGATCGAGCCCCACATAGGGCTCCCTGCTCGGCGGGAAGCCTGCTTCTCCCTCTCCCACTCCCACTCCCCCTGCTTGTGTTCCTGCTCTCGCTATCTCTCTCTCTGTCAAATAAATAAATATAATCTTTAAAAAAAAAAAAAAGTAACAAGAACAACAACAACAAAGGCCTTACCATTCTTACTTAATACAAAGGGAGTTCAGTATCTTTACTGCTGCTATCAAAATCCTCAAATTCATGTCTGTGCCTCATGTACTGGTTTTACATGTAAGAGCACCCACGGTATGTGAATTCTAACAAGATAGAATTCTCTTCGGCATCTGTGACCTTGCAGTATTCTGGTGCTATGTATACTTGATTTCAGCCACGGTCTCTTTTCTGTTTATCACAGAGAACTAATGAATACTATTTTTGGATACCAAATTGTGAGACTGGTTATAAGTAACTTCTTATAATAAACTTGAGTGGATGGACACATAACAAAAAACTGAAGTAATCAAAATAAAATCTGTTTTATATCAAAGCACATTAATAATGAAGTAACAAAAAGACACTTAGCAATAAACAATAAGAGCATGGGATCACAAGGCTGGCAGGGCCCGATGAGATCACCTCACCGCAAACCTGTTCCCTGACACATCCTTCCCACAACTCCAATCAATTTAAATATGAAAATACAGAGGCCAGAAGAGGCATAGAAACTGCCAAAGTCAGAGAGCTACGATCCACATCCAAACCCAAACTAAGATGTTAGGATAATAAGAAAGAAAGAAAAGTCACAGTGTTCGGTAGTCTTGCTACAAATAATGTCGGCTATCACGGATGGAATTTTAATGATACAAATGCACAGATTCTAAGGCTGGTCCTGCTTTAAAAACTATTTTTAAGCCACATAAATAGAAGAAATGCTATGCTTTTGCACCAAAAGAAGCAGAAAAACCTTACAGATTAAATAAAATGAGAAAATTCTATTTTCTCCTTATAAAAGGAGGAAGACTTCTATAAATTAGATGTTCGTAACTCAAGTAATACCCACACTACAGAGGACACTGCTACCTTGGTGGGGGGAAGGATGTCAGGCTTATCATTAATACCGTCTTAAAAAACACAGTAAGAGACAGATTCTATTCCACAGGCTCACTGATAACACTGAACACATCATACATCCCACTCAAAAATAAATAATACAGCATGTAATCCTACAAGAAATCAATTTGTCATTTCTAAAGCTTTTAGCAAATTTATTCGGAGAGCTTTAAACACTGAAACATGTGACTCCCGTGACATCTTTTGTATCACCCAACTGAGCCTGGTTCCCCAAAAGAACAGAGTCCGATGCCAATTACAGGAAAATGCGACTAAATGGGGCAAAAAGAGTCATTAGAAAATTCAGCCTCAACATTACAGAGTTTCTAGCAAAATTCAAAGATACATGCCAACCAAGGCAGGCGCGTCTCCTCTTCCCTGGAGCACAGAGACATGGAATTTTACCTCTTCTCTGTGTTTAGTCTAGGAATGGAATATTAATAACAGGTGAAGAGAGGAAGGGGCATTCCTTGTGAGATTCTCGAGATTCTCTAGATTAAAAGAAAAAGGAAAAAAACAGCCCTAAAATGTTCAAACACTTAAATTAAAAGCAGCATGGAACTGCATCAAAATACGAGAGAAGAAATAAGAGCCTGTCAACAAGGGTACAGATTCAGAGAAGTGAGGAGCACACGGCAGCTCAGACACAGAATCAGCCCTTTCAGGAAGCTGCCTGGAGGGTCAAGTGTCCACCTCTCGGCCCTGAGAGTCTGTGGACAAAGTCTGGCTGAGGAGCTAAACACAAGGTAGCGATATAATACACTTACTCCGGGTATGAGAGTAGAGATTGCAAGGACAAAGGGAAAAACAAACAAACCTAATAACAAAAAATCCGAGCCTCTTTTTGGACCTTGTTGATAACGGTTAGTCTATGAAGCCAAGCTATAATCAGTCTTTTCAAGATTAGTCCCCAGGACCGGAAGGTGCTGCCAGGGCAAAGAGTGATGTCACCACTAAAAGTCAGGCCACAGTCAGGAAATAAACCCCTTGGCCTTGTGCCACAATTGTTACAACGAATACAGCCTGCCTAAAAGTACTTTAACAGCATGATGTATATTTCAACACGTAGAACTGACTGATCTCCAAGTTCAGAGGGTTTTATGAAGGTTTACCTGCTTGGCTCTCTTCCTTGCTTCATCCAAAGATCTTCCTCTTTCTACTAACCGTTGAACCACTTTTTCCCACCGACTCTGGACACTTATCAATAGATTCTTAATTAGGACAACATCTTGTTTCTGACTGAAATATTTCAGGTGGGTTCCGGTTTTGTCCAGCTCTATTATCTGCTCACGGTGAGAATTTACTTCATTGGCAAAGACCTTTCCCAAAGGGAAAAAAAAAAAGGTAGAATTAGAAACAAATGAAAAACTGTTCTATCTTAAAAATGCTTTTGGGTGTCATAAGCTGAACCATTTTAAAGGACAAAATAAAGTTTTCAAACTACCAAATTCATGCTTCTGACATTAAAACAGTCTGTTGTCTAAAAAGGTCTGAAATGAGAATGCTATCCATCTGAGTTACAACATACCTTGTGTTCATCGATTTGAAACAAGACTGTGTCTAAGATAAGACTTGGCCGAGAAGCTACATTTAGGGTCTGTTCAGCCTGGGTTAGCCAGTTGATGAAGTCTTGGAGAGAATTGTGGAACTCCATTGCCAAGTTGAGGGCCTCTTCCAGTTTAGTCTGCGAAGACAGATTATTTAGTATTTGATGATATTTAATTCCCCTCCTCTCCCCCCGCCCCAGTTTAACCACTCTCTGGCAGATTTCTTTCCCATCCACACTTTATTTATACCTAATCTGTATTTCTGTATTACCTAAACAGTTTATGAATGTAGTGGGCTTTCACTAAAATACTGGCAAACCAAATTCCTTTAAGTATAGTGAGATTTCACTGCAGCTAAAAAATCTAATATAAACTAAAATTGTGATTCAGCGGCAATTAACTACAGAACACAATTACTAAACAGAATCTGTAGAAAGAAAACTTGACATTCACATGATTAATGCTGGGGGTCAAAATACTATGAAACATATACACATTGTGCTCTGTCACTGAGGGCACACAACCTAGTAGTATTCCTAGCCTATCATTTTTCTTGTAGCATTAAACAGTGATAATTTTAATCCCTTTTCATGGACTTCTGTTATGGAAGTGCTGATTATATATATATACAATCATCTCACTCTCTTGACCTCCCTCTTTCTCTCCCCACTACATACATAAATAAGTGTGATTAGAATTATTTAACAATCCAGGGGCGCCTGGGTGGCTCAGTCATTAAGCGTCTGCCTTCGGCTCAGGTCATGATCCCAGCGTCCTGGGATCGAGCCCCGCATCGGGCTCCCTGCTCCGCAGGAAGCCTGCTTCTCCCTCTCCCACTCCCCCTACTTGTGTTCCCTCTCTCGCTGTGTCTCTCTCTGTCAAATAAATAAATAAAATCTTTAAAAAAAAAAAAAAAGAATTATTTAACAATCCAGAATTAGAGTGGTTCACAAATTTAAAAATATACCTAGTAACACCTGACCTGTGATCTGTTTGAATAGACTGCTTTAACTCTGTTCTCCTGTGTTAAAAGAGAATACTGTTTTCAACTGACCCCACGAAACCTCCATATATATACGAAGAAAATTTAAACACGGATCGTTAAAAGTTCCACTGATAATTCTACTCAGAGATAAAGTAAATCCCATGAAATAAAACAACTAAAACATTCATTCTATGACATTAATTAAAGCACATACTTTCCTTTCATTGAGTTTGGTTTCCACCGATTCCCATTTTTCTTTCAAGTTACTTAAGTCTTGGTCAATTGTCTCTGCAGATTTGGGGCATCTTGCAAGCATCTGCTGGCCTTTCTGCATCAGACTTTTATATGTTTCTTCTTTAACATCAAAGGCAGCACAGATTTCCTAAATTGATATATCCCAAGTTATATCATTTTTAAGAGAATACAATCTAAGAGTTCCTTTTCCAGGTCATCAATCTTAAGCCCCTTATCATATATTCACCTCTATCCAACACAGAGAATAACCCTGACACATTCAAATTTTTCACTATATTGAAACAACACCTAAACCTATGGACATACCCTGTCTGCTAGAAATCTCAGAAATGGTGCTATCATTACCAGTCCATTCCAGCATGCTAAAGTTTGTGAAGTAATGTTTTAAATGTTTTCAAGAAGGGTTTCACTGCACTGTAACCAATCAGGTCTGTGACCGTGAGCAAGTAATTTAACCTCTCTGGGCCTCAGTCTCCTCCTCTGTAAAATGGATTTTCTAAGTCTCTCCTCAGACTATGATATAATGGCTGTAATAATTTTTGGTATAATTTAAATCTGTGTTCAGAAGACAAACAATGAATAGAAAATAAAGACCCAATACAGTAAGAGATTTGAAGCTGATTATTTAGACTTTGGAATCACAAAAGACAAACTTGTGGTACTATGAATGTTGCTCTCATTCATAGAATTTTTAAAGCTTTCAACTGGAATGTAGTGTGTTCCTTCTACAGAGAATATTAAAAAACTATGAAGGCAAATTCAGAATTTAATATCAAAACAAGAGTTACATTCATATAAAAATTAAGACCAGCTCTATTTCATTGGTTCAATTACAATATGGGTCAAATTATAGCTCCTATTGAAAAGTACATTCTATGTCTAACATTTTCAACATTTTCAACTAACATATCTCAATAATTTTTAAATTTGAGATATAATTCATAAAATTCACCATTTTAAAGTGTACAATTCAGTGTTTCTAGTGTATTCACAAAAATGTGCAGCCATTACTACCAATTCCAGAACATTTTTATACTCTCAAAAATTTGTGATTTCTTAAGCCCTAAAAAAAAAAAAAACTTTCTAAACATACTTATGATATCACCTATGATATCACTTTAATCCTAAAGCAAAACTTTTAAATACAGCTAAATCTCAGGAAACTGTAATATTCCAGGTTTTCTAGTTTCCTTCATTTCTAACACAACCAAATCAAAAGAGCATTACTAAAATGATATTAACAAGTAGCAATAACTGTTTAGAATTCCTTAAATCATGAAATTTACAACTATATTGGGTTAAGCAAACTCATTTTTAGTACCTCACCCAAACCAGATAAGTGGATATATAGAGCAATATTTTTCTAAAAGTAAAGTATTTCTAAGATAAGCTCTTTGCTTTCCACCTTTTTACTACATTTTTATAAATCAACATTTAAAAACTATTTGTTATTAGGGAATAATCCCAAGCATGTTTGTTTAAAAAGTCATTAAACTTCTACTTAACGGACACCATCCATGATAACTATGCAGGTAGTTCCAGGAAAGTAAGAAGTATCTGAAAGTCAGTTAGGTTTTATGCAAAAGGAAGACAAGCACTGCCAAGTTATTATTTAGTCAATTATTTTTTCAGTGAAACAAATGGGTCCCCTGTGGCACCAAAAAAATTACAGTAACAACAACAACAAAACCACGTACACAGTGATTTTCTAAAACAATGAATATACATTAAAGTTTTCTAGGAAATTCTATACTGGATTGATAAGAGTTTATTGTAACTGCTCATAGCAACTGTAAACTGAATAAGATGCTACCTCTGTTGTATTTCTTCACAACACCTACAAGGTGGTTACTTCCTCTCCAAAGCACCAAATTAAAAATTATTTACAACTAAGTGCTGTTTCAACAAGCTCCTACAACAACATTGGACATCTAACAAAGAAGACAGGCTTTAATGTGTAATGGATCATTTCTTTTTTCACCAATCCTTAAGTACTTGTACTTTCATTTCCCAAGATACTAATTATCAGCATTTCAATATTAAAAAATTTTTTCTGATGCAAAGTCACAAGTATAAAAAAGGACTAGTTTTCAAAATCTGAAACAGACTGCTTTCTCTTAGAACTTCTGAAGCTGAGTTATAATGTAAATGAATAGGAAATGTCAATAAATCGAAGCCTAAATTTAATTTGTCAGTCCACATTTCTGTGAAAGAAAGCCAGAGTCTCAAGTTCCATTATTTTTTCCTCCTTATCTTTAAGAGTTGACAGTGCCACAGAATCTGGGTGGGAACAGCCCAGAGGCACAAGGCCCCCAACTGGACAACTAACAGAAGCCTCCTCTCGTCCATAGCGGGTATGGGTGTGAAGCTGAAGATACGGCCCTATCACCAGTAAAACAAACAAACAAACAAGTAACTCGTGAACAGAACAAGAACGTATTTTCCAGCCTTCCAGGAAACTAGGTGGGAGTATCATCCTTACACCAATAACTTTAAAGTCAATTCTGATTACTTTAGGGACTTTTCTTTTCACTCAAGCAACAACAGTTTATAATTTACACTATGTTGTGTTACTATCCATATAAGCTCATCATTTTATGGGGAAAAGTTTGCTTCTAAAAAATGTCTAAGCTTCTAAAACCTTTTTTCATATACTGACGCACTAATCTTTGAAATAAAGAATAGGTTCTGACTTGAAAATTTTAATCAATAAATGGTTTTTCTAAGCACTTACACATTAAGATTTCTGCTATAAAACTGTATATCCTTTAAACCTTCTCCCACAATTTATTTATCACCAGGGCCCACGCAAAATGGTCAGTGTCTTAATCGGAGGCTAGAGCTGTAGGAAATAATATACTTACCATGTGGGCATTAAGCTGCTCCCTGGCTGTCTCTGGTAAACCTCCCAGAGGTTTGGATGCTAACAGATGACGCTCTGTGTCACTTAGCCATTGCTGCAAATCCTCAATCTCACCATGGAACCCTTTGGCCTGGAGTGATAGAGAGTTTTAAGTTCGGGCCATAAACACATTGTCACTTTCCAGCAGAAAACAAGGTTTAAACAATCCCAGCCTGCTAAGCCTCTCTGTGCATGCTTAAGAGCAGGCAGGTGCAGATGGATTTGCTGCCTTTCCTCATTCTGAGAGCTCTGGCAGGTAAGACTATTACACTAAGAACCAGAGGGCTGCCTTCTCATCTGCTCTGTTCTTTATCCCACTTATTTTTACTCCTCTCCTGAGGAATAAAAATCAAACAACAGTCTGCAAACCAATCAAAGAATTCCAGGCTATTTTTTTTTAAAGACTTATTTATTTTAGAGAGAGACAGAGAGAGAGAGAGAGAGAGAGAGAAAGAGAGAGCATGGGGGCCAAGGGAGGGGCAAAGGGAGAGAGAGAGAGAATCTCAAGCAGATTCCCCCCTGAATGCAGAGCCTGATACAGGGCTCCATCCCATGACCCTGAGATCATGACCTGAGCCAAAATCAAGAGTTGGATGCTTAACCGACTGAGCCACCCAGGCGCCCCAGAATTCCATGCTATTTTGGTCCTGCAGGCCAACGGAAGTTTGAGAATTTATCCTCTTATTCACCTGGCGCAAGGCACCATCCAGCTGCTGCTTCCTTTGTTCTGTTTTTTCCAAAACATTTTGCCAGCGTTGATTTAAAACCTCTAGCTTGTTCTGAAGGTTGCTTGCTTCTTCTCCTGCACTTGATTCAATTAGATCATTTCCGGCTTTATTAACGGCTTCCACTGTGGACTGATGAGCTAATACATCATTTTGAAGCACCTGAAAATATTAAGATAACACTATATTTACTAGCTCATAACATGTTAACATCGCTTTTAAGCAACTTTTATTTTCTGAGTATAAAACATTCTGAAGCAAAAACATCATAGGCATAGAATTTTAACACAAGAAAGTGTTAAAATGGTGAACTTCTTTTCCCTTAACTTTGCAGCTTTCCTGGATATACCTTTAGTCTACCAACAGTCCCTGAAATGATTATGTAAGAACATTTTGTTAGTTCTTTTGCATTGAATAACCTTGCAATTGAGGACATTAAATATCTGGAGATTATAATTAAAATGTTCTATACGTTTTCATTTGATTCAAACTCATTTTAATTTAACTTAATTTTCATGTCTTAAGTAAACAATTTTCAAAAAGGAGCGATCTTTAAAAAAGCATGTACTTTGATAGGTTAACAGTACTAATCACTTTCAGAGGTAAGAGTTAAATATTCTTGTGGCCAAAATATAAAGGTAAATCTATAAAATTCATTCTTCTAAATGGTCCAAGTCCTGCTACATAAGGCAGAGCCTAGGGGCCAGAGAAGAAAGGAGAGGGATGGAAAGATTCCCTCCCTTCCAGCAACTGGGCTGGTGAGTTTAAGCCCTTTCACTTCTGACCTTTAAGAAATGGAAGGAGAAGGGAGAAGTAGACCTTTCTAACTGCTGACAGATAAATAAACAGAACTAAAAGATCCCTACTCATGCCCTACCAAAATAAGTGCATCAGGGCGTGTCATGTCCCCGCCGCTACTGTATTCTATAAAATTCCTGTCACCAATATATGCTGCTTTTAAGGACAAATGCTAAGTTTATGAAAATGTAAACTCTATATCAACTCACACTATGGGAATAAACATCTTTTCATGCAGAGACAGTCTGACTAGTCATTACTGCTCTTACAAAAGTATAAGACAGACATTAAGTAATAAAAAAATATTAATGATACAAAATTAGTCCTAATTGCCTATCAGATATGGTTGGGCAATGACTATATATATATAGACTATATATGACCATATAGACTATACAGAGAGAAAACTTTTTTTAAAGATTTATTTATTTTAGAGAGAGAATGTGAGCAGGGAAGGGGCAGAGGCAGAGGGAGAAGCAGGCTCCCTGCTGAGCACAGAGCCCTAACACAGGGCTCTATCCCAGGACCCCGGGATCATGACCTGAGCCGAAACCAAGAGTTAACGCTTAAACGACTGAGCCACCCAGGTGGCCCAAGCAGGAGAGAAATTTAAATTAGAGTACAATTACTATAGGGAAAAGTATAAAAGAAGGAAAACTAAACCAAGAATACTAAAAAACTATTTATAATGATAGTAAAGTGCCAAAAGCCATTCATTCTAATATGATAATAAATATGTAAAACTATTAAACATTTACTATTTGATAATCAAGGAAAACTTATATAAGGTCAGAATTTAGGACCTAACCTTAGATAAGATGCCTCTATTAATGTGAATCTTGAAGTTCTATGATAGACTGTTGACTGTCAGGATAAATTCTACTGAGCATAACCTTTTATTCTTTAAGCCTACTGACTTAAGAGACAGATAATTTTCTTTTCATTTTTTTTCTCTGAAAAAAATGTATTTATCTCACTTTTCCTGGCCAAGTCAATGGCTTTGGTCATTTGCACAAAGATTCTAACAACTGGGTTTCAGGATTTATTTTTCTGGGCAAATGAATTTTATCGTAATAAGCTAGAGCTCAGCTCTCAACCCCTGTGAGGTCTGCTCCGGTGACCTAGGCTGGAGATCATCTAAAGCCCAGAAGATGCCTCCTGCTATCAGTCTGGGGCCCACTGTGGTCAGCTCCATGCTTTCCTGCTCCCTAAACCCTTCAGGCTGTGCAGAGATAGGAATTTTCTATTAAGAACTGTCAACCAAATGCCACAAAGACGACAACAATATAAAGTTGTTTTGCATGTACCTCAAGATTAAAATTTTTAATTTAAAGCTTTAAATCAAGTGCAAGACATATAAAAACCCTTGTAAACATAATAAATATTGTTAAAGACTGATTCAGAAAGAAAAGGACTAAAGACACAGAAGCCAGTGGGAAGTAAGAGAGACACAGAGACTGCAGAGCAAACTCCCACACAGTGAGAGACATACCGGCAAATAGAAAAAATGTGCGACGTGCCACACGAGCAGCAGGTGGGACACTCGGATAAGAGTGACCAGAGGAAAAACACACACACTGCCTGCAGTGGAACATTTCGAGCCTTACAGGCTTTCCCCAACAACTTTTAAAACTAGGCTGTGTCAATCCAGTGACAGGGATAATCAGGGATTTAAACCAATGTTTGCCATGCAGCCTTAAAACTTTGCCAGAAGTTTCCCACCCTTGCTATTCTTGACAACTGCCTTGGACAATGGAGAAAAAATTTTGATTATAATCTTTTAAAAAGTGTGTTTTAAATAGTTTGACCATGAGTTACAAATGTCAAATGTGGAACTGTGCTGTAATCATAAACTTGAAAAATGCATCAAGAGGAAGCCTACCAGAAAACAATCTGATGGCACTCTAAATGCATAGAGAAACACGACACACAAGAACAGCTACATACATGATGCTTGGCAAGTTCAATTTCAATGGCCTTAGGGTCTCCTCCTACAGGTTTCTGCTCACTGAGCAGGCCCTCGGTGTGCGTCAGCCACGTCAGCAGCTCATCCAGGGCGTGCTGGAACTGGCCCAGGGCTAACAGAGCCCCCTCCAGCTTATGCTACAAAAAAAGTAGAGAGGAAGAAAATCCATATGAATTTGATATAATGAATGACATACACTTATAAAACTAACAAAGGCAAAAAAATCAATTGTTGCATGCTATATAACTCTGTAAGTATATCCGATGAAGACCAATCATCATATCCTACATTTTAAGCTTGAAATTCCTTGTGGTTAAAAATGGCATGTTTCAAGAAGCAGGAAGAATTCTAATAAAATAAGAATTTAGGGGCTTCAAAAGTTTATGTACCTAATCACCTAATTTTCTCTTTCAATAATGATTTTACCTTAATATATGAACTTGAACTTCTCTAACTTCTTAATGAAAGTGTCAGTGTTTACCTGTCTGTTGATAATTCTTTCATCCAGACTATCCCATATCAATTTCAGCTCCATTAACGGGTCTTGAACAGTGTGCTTGTCACTCTCTTCTGTTACTTTCTTCAGCAAAAGCTCTGCTTGATGGTTCAGTCTCTCCATTTCTATCTGCTGTTGGTAGGCCTCTGACTTAAATTGCTATTTTTTTTAAAAAAAGAGATACATAGGAAAAATTTGTTCTAAATCAGAACTTTAAACAAAAATTCTATGGATTCAATATTTATTCTAATTCGTACTTTTTATAGTCAGGAAGGTGAAGAGGAATAAAAATCTAACACAAAAGAGTTGTAAGTAAAAAAAGATGAGGGAAATCTTTTTTCTTTATTCGATGTTTTATGATGGAAAGATATATTTTTTTTAAGATTTTATTATTTGACAGAGAGAGAGACAGCTAGAGAGGGAACACAAGCAGGGGGAGTGAGAGAGGGAGAAGCAGGCTCCCTGCCAACCGGGGAGCCCGATGCGGGGCTCGATCCCAGGACCCCGGGATCACGACCTGAGCCGAAGGCAGGCACTTAACGAATGAGCCACCCAGGCGCCCCAGGAAAGATATTTCTATTTGTAATTTTGATAGTTCACACTTTTGCTCTCTACAGTAAAAAAAGGTAAGAAATTTCAAGTCTAGCCTTATTCCAATACCTATATATATTCAATATGTGAGCTTTGAAATTATAGAAAATAAAATAAAAAATACACTGACATATATGAAACTCCCCAAATATGTCTCTAAGAAATGCAGATTAACACTGCCTGCTCAAACACATACACACATCTTGTATCCACTGAACGTTTTATGTTTTCCATAGCTGTGCTGCGGTAATAGTTAGTTATTCCTATGCCTCACCCACTGCTTACTCAGAACAACATTACTTTTTTCTCCCAGCGCTCACTAAACATGTATTTAATAATCTCAGCTTTGCCAACCAACACAGGTTAGCAAATGGTTGCTTGTAGTAGGAAACTGTCCTTTCATAAAATATTTATTTTTAATCTGTAATAGTAAATTATTAAATAATAAGTCATTAATGACTAAACAGTCCCTTAATTTTTTTCAAACATAAAAATAATAATTAAAAAATACTAGCTAAGGTATCGTGAATACTTGCTTTGTTTTCACTAAACCTATAAAGAAAATAATTTTATTCTCAATTTATGCTAAGGACATAAAAGTGAGACCAGTTAGGTAACTGTTGCAAGGGTGTTTGGCTAAGTAAGTGGATGCACTGGGAGGTAATGTCAGACATTCTAATTTCAGAGAAAGCACTCTTAAGCAGCCTGCTGTATGGAAACTACTGAGATATATGTAAATATCCAAAACTGCACACCCGTGAATGTACATATTAAAGTGTATCATGTGTTTACTACATGACTACATAAAGTTAAAGAAAAAAAATCGCAGTGTAATGATGGTAACCATAATAATTTCTAAATGAAATACTCTAAATTGTACTTAGAGATGAAAAGGCTACCATTTTAAAGCCAGGTAATAATTGTATACAAAAATCTAGGAGAGTTCATCGAAAATGGTGTGATGTCTCTGTGCATGGAAACTTGAAATTAGGAAGGAAACAGCTGATCCCACTTGGATAAATCATCAGCAGCACAGAGGAATTCAAAGAGGAAACAGTCCAGCCATTTTCACAGCTGGAGATCAAGAACCACAAAAGCAAAAATTACAGAGGAAAGCAGATGAAAAACAAGAAACATTTTTACAAAACAAACATTTTGGGAAACACTATTATAATACGGATGTTTCTTTAGCCTGTTAGACTAAATGGATTACTCTGACCCACTGAAGAAAACAAAAATGTCGCTATATGTGTACTGAGGGCAAGGAAACACTACTGAATAATGAAGTTACGAAAATCCCTATAGTATGAGGTACATATGTATAAAACGCCCCCTCACACCCCACCAGTCCCTCCCCCTCCTCATTGCATTCCCAACAGGAGGATATCTGAAAGGCTATAAATCAAATCTAAAGAGTAGTTGCCTCTGGGTACATAACATTTTGAGTGGCTTTTAAAAAGCCACCTTTTTGCTTATTTGTATTTTCTGACTTTTCTATAATGAACAGGGACTGACTTAATAATAAGAAGACTGGTATTTTATATCATTTAATGAGCACTTATATGCTGCTCATTATGTACAAGCACCATATTAAACCAGTTTTACAATCAAAATGTTAATACTTCAATTATGTAAAATAAATTTGCGTAAAGAATCCCCTGTATAAAGAACGTAAAATGCAGTCTTTGAAATTAATGAAGCCCACGCATACCTTTAGCTCTTCAATCTGCTGCTTGACAGTTTCAAGATCTGTTCCAATTGGTGACATTGAAGCTAATTTACCACCCGCAATATCTACCCAGTCAAATATGGCCTGAAAAACACATTAGTCCACGAGCTATTAGTACATCTGAAACTGCTATAACATCCCAAGGGTTACAGAAAAGTACAATCATAAATCTATACAGGTATTAAGGAATGAGCCTATTTTACAAATTAAGATGGTTCACCTAAATAAAAGCAACAATATGCTGAAAAAATTGTCCCAAATATGCAATAGATGTAACCTCCAATTCTGTGTCCGTGTTTGCAAAGGAAATTTTTTTCTGAGTAGAATCTTAGAATACTAAGAACTTTCAAAAAATGTGCACTTGAAAAAAAGTTTTAAAATTCCGACACATGAAACAGAATTCTCCATGCTTTCTTATGTCTAAGAGGCAGATTATGTAAATTCATTGAAAGAAAAAGATTCAAATCCATCTGCTTATTCAAATAAGCAAGAAGTTTATTGTTTAGCACTTGAGCAAAATATTTGGCCCAACTAAAGCCTTACATATTATTTAGATTAGCATTAAAATCCTGCACCTACAAAGATTAATATTATGACCATTATTCTGAATTACAACACAGACTACAGAATCTCTTTTTCCTGTTCTTGTTAGGTAATACAAACATTTTAAGAAAGGCACGACTCACATTTCTTTCAGATACTGAATACACAAAATTATAATGGACTTTAATGAAGTTGCCAGACCATATAGGAGGAGGAAGAATCTTGGAAACTACCTGGTATTTTTAGTTATCATTAATAAACCCAAGAATTTAAGCAGCAACCCAGGAAATAAAATTCATTTTACTTTACAATCAAACCCTGAAACGTCTAGAGCTTCTGGACCTTTAACATCTAGTTCTAGCTAGCCCCAGCTATTTACCAAATCAAGTGGCCCTTCATTCCCACAGGTGAGGCTACTAACCTCTAGCGGGCCATGTTTTTCTCGCAGGCGTAAGGAGAGAGTGTGGGTCCTGGTGCCCAGCCAGTGACCTTGATGGCTAATGGCTCCTGAGGTCAAAAGGCTGCAAATGGTGGCAGCGCCACCTCTAGCCATGGAGAGGGCACAACTCAGTCATTTACCAACAGTACGAGAAAATTATGACCTGGTCTCACAAACTGAGGGCTGGAGCCTGATTAGTTACTGGCCATTGAAACCTAACCAATAAATTATCTCTCTGGTTAAAAAGTGGGGGAAGGAGGAAAGTTATATAAGATCTTATTTGTAGTGAATTTTTTCATATATTTCCAAAGTTCAAAACACTTTCAGCTGGCATAAAGCCTGGCTTGTGATATTTATTTTTACAAATATAGAAAAGGAATGGAATAAAAAGGAAAAGATGTTCTCATCGGAGCTTTAAAAATAATATTCACTTGCTGTTATGGAAATACTCAGGAGGGCTTTTTCCATATGGTAGGAGGAATGACAGAGTCAACGTTGGCCAGACTGTTAGGAGGAAATGGAATAAGGCTGAAGAAGGTAGGGAGAGAAATGTCCCTGAGTTGGCCTCATCTGACAAGACGATTTTTTATTTAAAAAAAGAAACTTATAAAATGGTTAATAAACGGAATGAGAACCCTTAAGGGCTGTGAAAAACAACAATGAAAAGGAATTATGTATATGGAAAGTAAGAAAAACATTTTACATTTTACACAACAGATTATGACCTAATAAAACAGAAATCTATTTTAGTTCACAGGGAACACTGGCTTCAAATCAAATTTCTTTACTTCTGACTTTAAACTTCGTGATATTTTTAGATAGTGTTTACTCCTTTCATCTTACTCCACTCAACTTTAGAACAGAACTCCGATTCGGTTCCATCTCGCTGTCTGGTTAAACATTAAAATTTTTCTTTTCAAAGTAAATTTCACCATGTGTATACAAATGTACTTAGATGTCTCTATAGGTCTACACGGATCTCAAGAAATACCTTCTAGAAGGCAAAACACGAACCAAAGTAGGCGAGGCAGTTGCTCGCACGCTCACAGCCCTTGGGGCGGTGCCCATGTGAGCATCTGCAGCCCTCGGTCACATGCTTCCTCCCCCAGCAGCCCCGCCGTGACCCCCTACCTGCAGTCCGTCCTGGTACTGGACGGCAGCCTGCATCGCCTCCTCCAGTTTGTCCACCCGGTCTTTCCAAGCCTTATTTAGAGAATCCCAGGCTGAATTTAACTACAACATAAATATTAGAACTCTTTTAGTGTCATGTCTTAAGTTTTCAACTACTAGCAAATATGCTTTAGTTAAACAAGATCTCTTTAAAAATGCATTCTAGTGAGAGAAGGAAATAGGCCAGCGGTACCTCGTCTATGCTCTTCTTGACAATGGGTTTATCGGGTTCCCCACACGCAGCAATGAGTTCAGAACCCAGGTTAATAACTATATCCAGCTCTTCCTGTAGTCCATCTATTTCTTCCTTGATGGCCTACAATAAGAAATAAGCCTTAGAGTTCTAAGCAAAAACACACTGGAACTAAAAAGATGTACACGAAGACATTAATTAGAGTTATTTCTAGGAGGTGGGATTAAGATCAATTTTCTTCTTCTTTCTCTTTTCCAAGCTTCTGCAATAAGTTTTTTCAGTAAGAAGAAATATTTTAAAGAAAAAAACAGCACCCTTTGTAACAGACATCAAATGTTTATTATGAAAACAATATTTAAAGAATTAATTCTATATAACAAATACCAGAACAAGCTCCTTTAAATATTAATAACAATGAAAAGTGTAGAAATATATTTTTTGTTCCAAACAGAACAGTTTGGCAATATTCATTTAAAATACAGGTTAAGTGGTCTAAAAAAAAAAAATCTAAAAAAACCCTACCCGCTCCCCACACAACAAAACCAGATACAGAGAACAGATTGGTGGTTGCTGGAGTCAGGGGATGGGGTAAGGAGAAATGGGCGAAGGGGGTGAAAAGGTGAAAAGGTACAAAGTTCCAGTTATTAAGAAAGAAGTCATGAGAATATAATGTACAGCATGGTGACTGTAGTTAATACTACTATATTGTATATTTGAAAGTTGCAAAGAATAAAGCATAAAGAATAAAATAACAACAAAATAGATGTAAGTAAAATATGAGTTTGAAAACTTCATACAAATTAGCATACTTGTTAGTAGATTTAGGATAATCTAGCTCTGGATTAAATTTTATGTCATTTCCCTAGGACTTGTAAACTACAAAAAAAAAAAAAAAAGGAGAAAAATGCAGTGTTCTACTTTTACTTTTATCTTCTTGGTTAAATATATTCATTCACTCGAGAAACACTTAATAAACTTAAACCAAGCCCTAAACTAGGCATTGGGGGTACAAATAAAATAGATAGGGCCATTCCACTCAAGGAAACTAATGTGCAAAGATACAGAGACTAGAAAGAGCACACCGCAGTGGGCTGAGGGAGCCACTTTCTAATAAAGCAGCAGCAGGACAAAACGGCTTTGGAGACACAGGCTGGCCTATGCTAGGATGTGAGAGCCCAGTCCACTGTTGGAAGGAGTTTGGACTTGATACAGTAAGCAGTGGATGCCTCCGAGGGGTTTGAAGCAGCGATACAGTGAGATCAGATTTGAAGAGAAGACTGATGGCAAGGTTGGAGGCCTGGGAAGGAAAGAGACTCTGCAGGTAGGGCTACCACTCTGGATGACTTCAGAAGCCAAAAACGGAGCTAACAAGGCCCTGAAATAAGGCAGAAGCAGTGGGGATGCAGAGAAACTTTTAAAATACGTACTAAATGAAATTTTGGGGTATAACCTATCTCCTACTACATCACCAGGCATTCCACTTTCAGAATGAAATATAAATTTTAACAGAGCAATTCTGAATATTTACCAAAGGAATCCAGGTTTCATTACACCACAACTTTTTTTTTTTTTTTTTTTTTAACTTTAAGGGAGATTTTCTGCTTACCTCTGCTGCTTCTTGCTGCTGTTTAACTACTGAGGGATCAATTCCAGGATCCTCTAGATCCCGGATGAAATCTTGTGTATCTTTAGTGGTTACTACCAATGACATGTGATCACACCAGAACTTTTCTGCTAATTCCATTACATCCAGTAGTTTGGCTTCCCTTTCTTCCACCAGTGTGTGTATATTCTCCCAAATGAAAACCATTTGGTCAAGCTTATCCTGAACAGCTATGACACAAAATAGTATCAAAAAGGCAATATGTTAGCGCCATTTAAGCAACAAAGCCAAATGTTTCAGTTCACATAGCAACAGTGATTCAATCTGCTAAGTATCTAAAACTGGATCTAATTTTGGTTGACCCCAGTCTACTGGGTATCACAAGGCCCAACACAGCATATTCCAAAGGCAAGACCTCAGGGCATCCTACTCTTCCTGAACCAAGGCTCTTTTTGGCAAAAGTAGACACTCAAAGGCAAGTAAGCTCAGAGTAGACCTAAGTTTCAAGTTTACCAAGGCTGACCTTAATTCCAAAGAAAATGACATAACCACATAAGCTCTCCAAATCAAGAATAACAATGTCTGTTCAGTTCTAGGAATTTAACAATGTAGGATACGTATTTTGGGCTTGTTTCTTATCATAAACTTCCACTAATCTATGTGTGTGCTTTTCCTTTGGACCGCCCAGCTCCTATCTTTAAGATGGCTGGCTAAGGTCGTGGTTGCCATTTCTGTGGCTATGGGAACACCCATTCTGGGGTACCCATTATGTAAAGTAGTGTATGATTAGTAATAAGGAAAAAAACCCCTAGGTTTGGTGTTTTTAGAGTCATCTTTCAAACATCTGGTTTAAAAGTCCCAGAGAACACATGGCTTTTGCATAATGTCACGTTGTATATGTAACTGATTCCACAAACACAGGAAAATATTAATGAGGGATTTATGTACATAGCCCTTCAACCCCACTGGTAATACCTTTTCTAAAATCTGGCACTTTATTATGCAATTAGACTGTCAGTAAACGGCATGAACATTTAGAATTATTTTAAAAGTAAAGCTCTATTGTTTCCTTATTCTGAAATTATTACCTTTGGCAGATATGTCTTTGTCAGTGCCCTCAGATCTTGCGATCATTTCCTCTCCGCGCTTTTTAAGAGTTTCATACAATGGCTGTAGCTTCTCCATGTCTACTGACACGTTCTTATTCTCACTGATCTGCTCCTTAATCTTTTCCACCTCAGCTGAGATCGAAGGTGGCTGTCTCAAACGCTCCACGATGCGTTCCAGGCTCTCAAGGATCTGGTCTATCTTGTCATGGAACTAGAAGTAAATCAAAGGGATAATTTATGGGGAAAAGACCTGTGATATCAAAAGTGAAATTTAAATGAAAAAAAAAGAAACCATCTAATGTCTCAATCAAGAATTAAATCTTTGATCCTCTGTTAATATATCTACCCAATTGAGTGTATTTGTCAGAAACAGTATTGGTTAATATATAAATGGACTACCTGATACCAGCATCTTATCCGTTGCTTCATTTTATCATAATTCAAACGAATTTTAAGAATTAAGTCCAATAATCTGTGTGTTTTTTTATCAAAACTGTTTTGTTTTTACTCATTACTTTGGTATCCTAAAAAGCTGTATTATTAAGTGTAAGACTCAAGAGCATTTTTGATGAGAATAAAGGTATTTCTTAAGTTATAAATTTCCTGAACTGAAAAATGTTAAAAATGAAACAAAAACAAAAGCCTCCCTGACATTGTAATAGAAGTCTGAATTTCATTCATGGTCAAACACATAATCAGATTCACGAAAGCATTTTAAAGTTTTGTCTGGAAGGTACCACAGACAATAAAGCAAAGTTATAAAAACTCGCTCAGGCCCAGGTTCTACACTATCCTCAATATTAAAGGAATCATCACACAGGATTCCAGAAAATGGACCACTCTAATGTCAGCGTATCTAATGATTAAAGCTCAACTCTGAAAATGGAAAATCTGTAGGCAATTTCAAATTCAATGTCTTGAAAAAAAGTATTTTTGAAAAAGAAAAACATCAATTTCCAACTTTATATTTTTTCCTTCTTACTCAGTCCATGCAGTCTTTTCTTCTTATTGCCCTCTTGGGAGTGTCTCATTAACAATGGTAATAACATTTTCTTCTGTCTCTCCCAAAGGCAAATATTCTTTTCTACTCTGGATGGACACTTACTTAAATATTTGGACAGTGATGACAACTGTATGTTTCTTAAGTCACTGAAAATTATTTTGTATTGTATCTACAAGCAGGCAGAGAAATACAAGGACTGGACCAGCCAAATACCACTCTGAGAGGCCAAAACATCCATAGTCAGATTTAACGTAGTGAAGTAATTTTGGTTGAAATTTAATCAGGAGATCCAAGAAAATGTGTTTCCATGCTCTTCTGTTCGGAAGAGCTCAATCATCTTTCTGGTGCAAATGATTACCTGAGTAGATTGAGAAATAGCTTCATCCAACGCCACGGCTCGCTTTTTGACATCCTCTTTAATTTGACTGTAAAGGGTGTCAGCTGCCACGTACTTCTCTTGGATAGAAAAGCCTTCGCCTGGGCTCAATTCCAGTAACTGTGGCCCAGTTTTGTTCATCTTATCTATATGAGGCTTGTGTTCGGCTATCAACTCTCGCAGTTGCTATAACAAACCAAACAGCTTCTCAGTATCTCAGGGTCACGCTTCCATATTACAGCTGTCTACATGCCCAATGCATCCAGCTGGCAAGAAACTCCAAACACCCTCCCCATCACAAGGCATTTAGCACAGGATGGCTCATGCTGCTCTTTGCCAGCAAGAGATGCCCCTGACAGAAAGAATAAACAACAGTCTGGTCATGTCAAAGTCTCTCTAAGGGTAACACACAAAAATGCTGGTTGAGTGAAATAATGAATCGCAGTTCATTATGCATTTCCCATCAAGAGCAGTACACTTGGGCAAGGGTCATATTACATAAAAGAATTATGAAATCACTATATCCCCAACCTACAGAGACCAAGCTATAACTCTTGGTGTCTCTTTCTGTATACTCAGGAGGTATGCAAAAATTTAAAATGGAGTAAGGAAGAAAGAGAAGGAAGGAAAAGGAAAGAAGCTCAGCAGAGTGTAGACATAATGCAGAGAGGAAAAAAACTATACATAAAGCTAAGTTAAGGGGATATAAGCCCACGAGGTATTGTAATTATATATATTTAAAACAATACAAGATGTGTATATATGTATTACATTATATATACCTAAGTATAAATCTATTCTATGTACATATAGGATATGTATGATATATATATGAATGAATCTATCTGTATTTATTTTAAAATGTTAAAGGCTACAGGGTAATCAATCTATCAGATTGATTGACACCGCTATATACTGAGTATTACTTGTAAAGTGCATTTAAAGAAAAACATATGACATACTTTGCATGATGTCATCTAATCAAGAGATATAATGATATTTATACTAATGAGTGTGTGTGTAATCCAGGTGGAGGAGCCCCATTCCTTCTGGGGAGGCAAATCTACACTTCATGGAACCCAGGGCCTCCACTGAGCGTTTTTCACGGGCCAAATCCAAAGCCACATCCATCTTTGCTTCCAGGTTTCCCTGAGGCTAGCCTCCCTGTAGCGCTAAGGAGCCTTCCACTTGGTTCCTTAAGCAGAAGTTCCTTGCCCTGACCAGAAGGTATATCTCCAATTTTGCTACCCAGCCCCCAACAAAAATTTCTCTGAGAGAAATTACATTCAGGAAAGATAGTCTAGAGAAAAGCCACCAATCTTCTCCTGCAAATAGTTTCACTTCTATGATTCATCAAGAATCACCAAGATGGCCACACAGCTCTAGATTTTTATTTAAAGTACTCACTAAAATCAGTCATATAAATTATTTTGAAAACCGTTAAGGAAGTTGGTACACTACATCATCAACAATCCCCAATACCATTTTTGAAGTTTTTCTGAAGGTAGTTTCAAAACTCTTGAAAAAGAGCTAAATAAACATAAATTCAATTAAAATAAAAGAACGGGGTGGTCCAAATCTAACCTGCTGCGCGTAAGAACATGGGAGGGTCATGTCTGCGATCTAGCTCCTGAGGGGTCCAGACTGAGACGTTCTTATTTTTGTTTCATATTATTAGATCATATATTCATGCTACCTTACAGAATGGAGATAGTAATTGTAATATCAGCTAATAGACAATCTCACAAAAAAGGGATGTGTACACATGTTCTGGTTTCAATATGCTACAAGGCATGGCTGTAAAACCAGCTTACACTTTGAGTTATCAAGAGACTATCAGGTAAAATGAGAGACCTCTGCTGACACTTCCTGAGTTGCCTAGCATCTAGGCAGATCTCATTTGTGCAGCACCACCATGGGACGTACTTTAGTTTGGGGCGTACTGAGATGACCCGTTTTTAGACTATTCCTTTTTTAGATGTCTAGTAGTACTACACGTCTACTTGGGTGTATGTGTGGAGAAAGGGCCCAGTAGGAGATGTCCTTTGCCTCATATGTAACAAAATGGTTCTTGGCAACACAGTGCCATAAAAGTCCGGTCACGCTAGAGACACTTCTAGCGTGTGATCTCAACATATCTACCATATAGTAACTGGCTCCTGGAGCCGTTTTTCTTTCCCGGTTAGAATGAACTAGATCTTCCCAAATACAGCTGAAGATGAAGCTGTGGAGCTACAGAAGAAATGCTGTCCTAGAAGGCTATAAATATTATGAAAAGTTTCACTGAATAATTTGAAGACTTGGTTACAAAGTTTTGTAGTTCCTTTATATAAGAAACTGTAAATTTGAGAGCTGAAAGACTATGCTCAAAAGGGAAAATTAACTCGGTTTTGAAATTCAGTAATAATTCAGTAATAACTTTTCCATTATCTGATATTATGCTAGAAACATAGCTACTGAAATCTCACCTCAGAATAGAAGAAATCCATGGGACATTTTATATTAGAAGTTATTCAGTGGATAGGCATCAGAATTTCTGCCACAAAAAAACTTTTATACTAAAATTAAATTCAATTCTGCATAATTTTTAAGTCTTTCTCCTGCTGATGTAGATAGAACTCAATAAAATTTCCATTTTGCATTAAAGTGTTGACTAAAGCTCTTGTAAACAAATACTTAGAGATATTCTTCAATGTCAGTAGATTAAAAAAGTAAACAAACAAAATTAATAAGAAGTGTGTCATGTCCTTCAAACAATGATGTAATATACTGAGTTAAACTTTCTATGCATGCGTGCATGCATGCACACACGCACACACACGAATAGTCTCAGAGTACAATTTGTACAGATCTGGGAGACAGAAACTAGGTTCGTAAGTCCATAAACAGCAAGAACCCCAGATTTTTTTCTGATAGTCTTGAGCCCTCTCCCAAACCCTTGCAAAATTTTAGGCAATATTAATATTTAAGTAACTGCTGAAATGAGGGCTTCATAATACCATTTTATTTATGTTTAAAACATGACGCATTTGTAGATGTAAATACACTAGAGAGTTTACTCATATATACTTATAGGAGCAAAAACCGTCAAAAGAGTGAAAAACAAAGGAGAGACAACTTGTCTTTGTACTTCAGCATTTTTCCTTTCCATTGAGCTAGCTTTTACATTATTTGTGTTTTGACATATTGTTGTATTGTTCATTTCCTCCAAGCTCAGTGGTCTTGTCTGTATGATGCTGCTTTGATATATTTCTACTCTTTGCTTACATTCTAGATGGCTCCAACCAATACCATATGAAGTGTAAAACTTAGTCGACATACGTAAATGAGAAGCAATTCAACATGCATAAATGGGAAGTACTTCAAAAGCTTATTTCTCTAACATTTTAAAGCGGGAACTTAGTTTTTGTACCAAGATGGCTTATACTTCATATATTCTAGGAAAGCTGTGATATAATTAATGACATTCACAATGAGTCTTCTCACTGCTACTCTGGAAAACAGGTAAGCAACTCTGAGGAAAGCAACTGTGAAGACCAGAATAGGATATTGCTAAAATCTCCTAAGGTAGGGCATCAAACTGCATTAAAAAACCACCACGACAGTGCTCGCTTCGGCAGCACATATGCTAAAAACCCCCATCACAATCACGATTCTCTTCTAATGGAGAATACAACCCTCTCTTTAATATCAAGCTTACCCGATGCTCTTCCTGCTGTTGTCTTAGAGTTTCATATTCAAGGGCTGGGGCAGGAAGCTGAGAGATGATTCTTTGTGTTTCTGTCAGCCATGGCCAAAGTTCTTCATAGGTTTCCCAGAACTGGCTAACCAGGGACTGTGCCCGTTCTAGCTGTAGATACCTCTCTGAGTTTACCTGGCAGATGGCATCATAGTTCTTCAACACCTTGTCTAGTTTTTTCTAGAAAGTAAGAGAATGAAATGTGTTTAGCTGGCCAAGCAGGCCAAAGAGCACATGTACTCCAGAATGCTTTTTCTCACACTATATGCCTAGTGCAAAGCAGGCGCTCAACAAATATATGCTTAATGAATAAATCATTAAAGCCTATTTAGATTGTAACTAGTTCTATGTATAAAAGTTCGTTTTAATTAGAATTTAAAAAGACCCTTCAAGGGGCACCTGGCTGGCTTAGTCAGGAAAGCATGTGACTCTTGATTTCAGGGTTGTAAGTTTGAGCCCCACATTGAGTGTAGGGATTACTTAAAAATAAAACTTAAAAAAAAAATCCTTCAGGTTCATTTATATTGTTGCATATGGCAGGATTTCCTTCATTTTTAAGGCTGAATAATATTCTACTATATGCTAATGTTGTGTTCTTAACACAATAAAACAAACATTTTCCCATATATATGTAAAAAATAGCAAAAATGTGGAAAACATCTTAAAAATACAATAATTGGAGATTAAGCTAATAAATTATGATATATTCACCCAATGGATTTTTATGTCTTCATCAAAAATCATGGGATTAATGACAGAGAACCTCCTCCCACCTCCAAATATTAGGTGACAAAACCCAAAATATAAACAAACAAATAAATAGCCTCAAGTGTGTATGAATAAGACACTGAGCTTTCCAAACATAATAAGCAAAATTCTTCAACTATCCTTCTAGGTCCTGTAGGTCTTCTAGGTTAGAAAACAAGTCTCATATGAGTCTAGCAACATTAACATTACTTTCTAGCCCAAAATAAGGACTAACTTCCACAAATGAAATTGTAAGAGGAACTGCTAGTCAACAAAATTAATTACATATATTAGAATCAGAGTAAAACATTATACTATACACTATATTTTGTGGACTGGTCACAGTGATCTAGATTATGGTATAAATTCACATCATAAACCAACAGCAGAGGATAGAGCACCATAGTAATCTAATAAACCACAGAATTACACAGAAATTATTTCATCATTATCAGTGTTTTTCATGTCAAGATCTTGTAAAAATAATAAAGGAAACGTTAAGTTATAAATAAGTAAACTGCCAGAATAAATAGAAGAGGAAGTATCAGTATACAGTTACACTCTATTACTTTGTCTATGGTATACCTTAAAAGCAACGTATACTCTAAAATGTGATCTTAGGCACAGATATTTGTGTCATTTTTTTTGCTGTGGGCTATTTTCCTACCAGAAGCATTAACATACATTAATTTCTTTAGTCTGCTCACATGTCTGAATATGAATGGAACTAAACATTTTTACTTGCGGCTGGTTTTTCATCAATTTAAAGGGATTATTAAAAATACATAAACTAGATGCTTCCTTAGTTATTCAGCTCATTGTTTTTCCTATACAACTTACTGAAATTTTACACAGGATGAATTTTAGCATTAGAGAGAACCACATATTTTGAAGCATTTAAACAAGAGTTGACATACATAGTAACACTTTATACTGATAATAATGTCAGTGACACAGCTAACATTAATTGAATGTTTAATGTGTGCCAGTTATTCAAGGACACAATCCTTAATAGTTTTAGTAATTTTTTATTAGAAAAAATTGTCCCCAGGGTGATTCCCTTAAAGAATATTCCTTTTACTGTCACTCTGTAAGCTTGAAAAATGCCTTATTTAAAACTAATGATTTAGCTGTCTAAATGGCAGCTGTGGATAAAGAAAATGTGCTTCTCTAGGGTTGAGAGCTTAACAGAGGCCATTTATTCAAGAGTCTCACCACCAGTCACACAGACAAGCTTATACCTTCATTGATTGCTTTTCCTCTTCACTGCATGTGGCCATGATTTTATATCCAGATTTAACAAGTTCATCGATAATATCCTTGTGTCTCAAAATCTCCATGGTGAATGTCTGTGATTTACCAAAATAAAGATAAAAAAAGAGAGAGTGTATGACTAAAATGAAAACAATCAGGCAAAGATGTTAAAAATACCAAATTACACTAGAGGGGTCTTGCAAAGTAAATCATGCAAGCACACTGTCTACACTTGGGGCCACACTAACAAATAATTCTGATATAATTGGAAATGCACTTCTTCACCTTTTGAAGCTGCAGCTGAGCAGAGGTCTGGTCTTGCTCAAGCCTGATGTCACCCAGAGACATCAATTTCTTTTCGGTTTCAGTAATCCAGGATAACTCGGCATCAGCTGCTTGGTCAAACTAAACAAAAGATAAATAATTAGGTCAGAAAGTTCCTGTCACTGGTGCCAGAAAAATACCTCTCTACATTTCTTTGAAATATCTTAATTACCACACAAGTGGAAAATGTGAGCTTATCTCTTCATGGCATCCTGAAATAGTTTATGATGATGACTAAAGTCATAAAGAAAGGAGAACTTCCCACAGAGTATTTAAACACAAGCTCTTAAAAGGCACTGGATGTGTAAGACAGCATTAATGATTTTAGGACAGCTAACTCTGTTGCCTTCTTTTTGGTAATCATAAGAATTTTCTCCTTCAAACCTCAATGAGATACCACCTCACACCAGTCAGAATGGCTAAAATTAACAAGTCAGGAAACGACAGATGTTGGCGAGGATGCGGAGAAAGGGGAACCCTCCTACACTGTTGGTGGGAATGCAAGCTGGTGTAGCCACTCTGGAAAACCGTATGGAGGTTCCTCAAAAAGTTGAAAATAGAGCTACCGTATGACCCAGGAAATGCACTACTGGGTATTTACCCTAAAGATACAAATGCAGTGATCCGAAGGGGTACATGTACCCCGATGTTTATAGCAGCAATGTCCACAATAGCCAAACTATGGAAAGAACCAAGATGTCCATTGAGAGATGAATGGATAAAGAAGATGTGGGGTGTGTGTGTGTGTGTCTGTGTGTGTGTGTGTGCAATGGGATATTATGCAGCCATCAAAAAAACGAAATCTTGCCATTTGCAATGACGTGGATGGAACTAGAGGGTATTATGCTAAGCGAAATAAGTCAACCAGAGAAAGACATGTATCACATGATCTCACTGATATGAGGAATTCTTAATCTCAGGAAACAAACTGAGGGTTGCTGGAGTGGTGGGGGGTGGAAGGGAAGGGGTGGCTGGGTGATAGACACTGGGGAGGGTATGTGCTATGGTGAGCGCTGTGAATTGTGTAAGACTGATGAATCACAGACCTGTATCTCTGAAATAAATACTACATTATATGTTTAAAAAAAAAAAAAGAAGAAGATAGTAGGAAGGGAAAAATGAAGGGGGGGAAATCGGAGCGGGGAGACGAACATGAGAGACTATGGACTCTGAGAAACAAACTGAGGGTTCTAGAGGGGAGGGGGGTGGAGGGATGGGTTGCCTGGTGATGGGTATTAAAGAGGGCACGTACTGCATGGAGCACTGGGTGTTATACGCAAACAATGAATCATGGAACATTACATCAAAAACTAATAATGTAAGGTATGGTGATTAACATAACATAGTAATAATAAAAAAAAAGAGTACTACTCAAATTGAACAGCTCAAAAAGTCAATAGCTGGATCAATCATTGCATCCATCATTTTAATCCATATGATTATGCGGGCAGCATTCTGCTATCTATGTATAAGACTCCTAGCAAAACTCATGAAATATTCACATTTATTTACCATACTACGTGTACATAAATGTATGTGCAAAGTATGTTTCTTTATGTAGAGTATACCCCGAAACATCTCACATATAATTTTTTTTCCATCTCATTTAATAATAGCAAAAACCACTTCAAAGAGTATTCTTAAATATTTTAAGAGGTTTTATTTTCCTGATCTTAACAATTCATGGCAGAAATTCATAAGGTACAGAAAAATATACAGAAGAAAATTAAAACCTGGAGTTAACACTGTTGGTATTTTAGTGTATTTTATTCCAGAAGTTGAAAAAGATTTATAAAAGCTTGGGATAATGTTGTATAAACAGTTTCATATCCTGCTCTTTGATTTATTATGAACATTTCCCATGTCATAGTCTTTTAAATGTGAATTTTAAGTAACATCATTGTATTCTAGCATACCTGGATATTTTTATTTACGCTCATTGCATTTTCTGCTATTATATAAACAAACCTGTAATAAACAGAAATCTCTGATGGCATCTCCAATTAGTTCCTTAGGGTAGATTCCTAGAAGTTGACTACCAAGTCAAAAAGCATGAATATTTTTGATACCTTGCATCAGACAGAAGCCAATGCCTCCCAGGGCAAGCAGTTACCATAAATGAGCAAAGTGGGCAAGTGCCCCCACAAGCACCAGTGGTAAATGGTAACTAACGGTGTGGCCTTAGTTGGAAGACTTAATGGGAAACAGACACTGTGAGCATTCAAGTCCAGTACTGCCAGAACTTCTAATTTTTCAAGAGATCCTGGAAATCTAGATGGGGGTAGGGGATAACTAAGTGGAGAAAAGAGAAGGGTAGAGATAAGAAACTAAATTGGAAAATAATTCATTCTTTTAAAACACTCTGCAACACTATGCAGACTCCTTGGAAGATGGAATAGATATACTTTTCCCTGTTCCTCGTAAGTACACCTAAAAACCCTGGGCGTTATAAACATGCATACACTGCATACAAAACATATGTAAGAAGATTGAAAGAAGAGAGAAGAGAGCAGAACTGCTGTGGATTCTGGCGCTCAAGGAACAATAAAGTGGTGAGTTCTCCAGGTTTTCTTCTTGCCTCATATATCCTGGATACTGGAGAAAATGCAACCCAGAAACACCCAGAGGCACAGACAAAACCCCAAGAAAAGGCTGCTCTCTCAGCCAAAAGACCAGGAAAGGGGCACCCTAGCAAGAGAACATTTAAACAATAGCCACTCTATCTAAATGCCACAGAACAGAGGCTGTGGTCCCACGCACACTCATGCCAAGAAAGGCCTAGATTTTCGGGCGCCTGGGTGGCTCAGTCGTTGGGCG